CTCAAGGGTGAGTAGGTAAAGAGTGTGTTGCAAGACTTCTTTTTTAGCTATTAGTTTTGACCTATTTTGTTTATTGGTATCTGAACTGTTTGTCCAGATGTGAGTAAAATAAAAAATACCCCCCAAAAGATGCTTTCCAATTTTAGACAACTGTTTTGAGCCCTCAGAGTGGTTTTCAGTTGCCTGAGAGGAAGTATTGCTTTTTTTCTGCAGTAAACAGAACTAGTGGTCTCTTGTGTTTGGTGGAGGGTTCTAATGTAAATATAGAAATGTTCTTGCTTGAATGAACTGATTCATTACTATCCTCTCTTTTAGGATAGTGAAATCGTCCCTAGAGAGGTTAAGGTGTTGGTGATGTGCTTGCCTGATGTGCTGAAGCAGAGCCTCAATTGCTCAGTGTTTTTAGATGCCTGCATGGAGTTTGCAGACTGCATGGGGTACATCTTCTGCTCCAGTACAGCTACTTATCATGGTATATCTAAATTCATACTCCTGTCATCCACAGGGACAAGCTTTCTCCTCCCAGTTGTCCAGAGCATGAGTCCTACCAAGAGCTGAATTTGCCCTGGTGTAATTTGTAGCAGGCAGGGACACGCCAGAACACTACAGGAAGGAAGATAATTAGGTGGTATGCATTTATCTGAGCACATTTCCTACTCCTTAGAGAGCACTCTACATCTTGGTGGGCACTGGAAGCTTTGTACAAAAGATTTCAGGCCATTCTTTATTCTTTGGCCCAGAGCAGGGGTGAGAATATCATCCCCTTTCTGGGTGAGACTGGTCTGAATGGTACAGCCAGTAATCACGTTACTTTAGGACGTCAGCATCCCATGTGAGGATGACACGTCTGCTTTTGTAGTGATGATGAATGGATTTTGAAGCAATCAACACAGCTAGGACTCATTTATTTTGTCTTTTTTTGTCAACTGAGTTTAATTGTTTCACAACCAGAACTCTTTGAGAAAACAATTTCTGCATCTCCTAGTACCTGCATTAATAGGGTTTATTCCATTAACTACAGGGACTGTGGATTCTAGTTAAAATAATCTGCCTCTGGAAATGGAGATATTGACCCTGCTTGTTCTGTACAGAAAGATGCCAATTAGTTCTCTACTCAAGTAAAATTTAAATAAAGACTTGAATGTTCCTGTGCCTGTTGCTTTACAAGATTGTTTATCAGTTTACATGGAGGCTATGCTGCCTTTTCAGAGTGGTGCTGGAGGGCTGCCAGCAATAGTAACAGGAACTGTGTTCATTGTTTAAGTGCCATTGGATGCAGGAATGGCAGACTGATGCCTGCTTTCCTTTCATTTTGTGATGATCTAATTGCAAGAGATATATAATTCCTTGTTATGTCAGGGAAGTTGCTTCTCCAGCATCTGGTACTTGTCTGATTATCTACAAACAGTATCTGAAAATTAATAGGAAATCCAGCTATTATGTAAGAAGTGCTACAGGGAACTGCTGCCTGCATTAAGCCCGAGAAGACTTCAGACACTGCAAGAACTGGCTTTGTCAGTGAACACATAATTTTCTTTTATTTTCTTTTCTTTTTTTTTTTTTTTAATTTTAACATCCTAGTAAATTACAGGCTTTGGTTATGGTTTGAAGAAATGTGTTCTACAAACGTAGCATCTGTATGCTGCTGTTTTTACTGCAGCTATTGTACAGGTCATTAATCTGATCCCACATTGTAAAAATTTCTCCACCCTCTTCATGAGCTTCTTTGTTATCGTAACACTTTCCAGTGCCTTGATGCCTAACTCTGCTATATTCCCTTATAATTACCTGGCATAGAACAATAGTTTTTTTATTCTCAATGCACTTGGCTCCTGCAGTGGTGCTGCTGAGCACCATGCTCACCCCATCTCGGTGACAGAGTGCACATCCAGCTCTGATGGGCTGGAACCAGTAGCCGGGGAGACATCTGGGCAATTCCTCTCTCATCCTCATCACCTGCTTACCTGGATGAGCTCATGACATGAGCCTGAAGAGGAAAAATGGCAGCTGCAGATGCTCCCACATCTGATACTTGGTTTTCACCTCTATAATCACTGTCAAACACCTCTGTTCAAGGGTTGTTGCCATGTAGTGCTATGCAAAGGGAATGGTTTAGCAAATCCCTCCTAAGCAAGGTGAGGGGAGCTTGCAGGTTTGCCTGGGCTGTGGGGCAGGTCTATAGCAGGCAGTAACAAGCTGTTGCAAAGCTTAAAGTGAGCACTGCTGGGGGGGTTTGGAAAGAATAATTCCTGGGAACTTACCTGAGCATGGGTCCCAAGAAGTGTCCAGGAAGGAAGACGACATGCGAGCATGCCATGGGCATGGTCAATACTTGGTATGTTTAAAGAGTTTAGATTGAAGTGATGATCTCCACCAAAACGTAGGTAAATTGGGCAAACATTCTCCCGAGGGTATATGTGTCCTAGGTGACCCAAAATGCTAATGTATTCCATATCCATCTGTGTCCAAAAAATCATTACTGTCTGTTTACAGCCCAGCAGCACAGCCAGAACTGCAAGTGTGGGACAGCCAGGAGGTGCCAAGTCCTTTAAAAAGTTCCTATCTGTCACCATTTTCCCTTTGTCTTCCTATATGCAGTTGGCAGTGGGGGCCGCTGTCTTTGAAGGCGGTGGTACCCTGCCAATCTGGGTGTCTCTTTGTTCCTGTGGAGTTTGTGACATTTAGCAATTTTGTATTTAGTGATTATTCACTGATATTTTTTGCCTGATGTTGTTTCACTTGTTAGTAAACTCATTTTTTCCACTTGAATCTGCTGATATTAGTTCTTATTGGTGGAAACAGATTAGTTGGAACTAAGGAGAGGTAACTAATTTTATAATGTCTGCTTCTTTAAATTGTCTTAAACCAAGAAAATGTGGCTGAAAGGAGGAAGGGGATCTGGTTACCTCTGAGGAAAATACCTGACATTTTGAGCCAGGTAGCATTTTTAAGGAGGGCATGTGGTTCTTGTCTCCAGGGTACATTCTAACTCATGTTGATAATACACTTTCCTCCATTTTTCCAGGAGAGCAGCTTCAGTGGGCCCATAGCTGAGGGAACTCTCAATGTGGCTTTATCTGCAGACTGACTCTCAGAAAGGGCTGTCCTGTGCCACCCCAGCCATCATGGTTTACTTTCCCAGCCATATTGTCAAAGCCTTGGCTAGACCAACACCATTTTCTAAGAATACCAATAACCTCACATTTTCCAGGCAGTGAGCTGTGACAAAGTTGAGGGACGCTGAGCCAGCAGCACCATCCCTTGCCAGTGCCATAATATTTAGTAACACTGACACCTTTAAGAGTCTCCATTTTCCATAACTGTAAGCTGAAAGAGAAATTCATGGCACTTCATATTTGTGAAACACAGATACTGGGTTGCTTGAAAACTTCTGTCTAACCACACTGGGATCTGTGTTAGGAAGTCAGTATTTCAGCCAAAGATCCTTAACGCAACTGACTGCAAAAAAAAAAGGGTGCTCCTCTCCTGCATGGGGCTGAAAACAAGGAAGAAAGCTTCCTCGCAGGAAACAAAGCCCATATTCAGTTTGTGGTTAGAAAGTCTTAGAAATGGATACACCACTTGTGCCTGTTCCTACTATTGCTGCTTTCTCTACACTTCCTAAAATTGGCATGAGTTCTTACTCCGAGCTTTTAGTGTAATAAAGAATGAGATATCTTAACAGTGGCTTGAATTTGGGCTTCAGCTTGAAGACTAAATGAAATTTCACACGAATTTAAGTCAAACTAAGACCCCAGCTGAACCATATGGAGGGAGTGTCTTCCTTCAGATAAAAGCATTGCTTGCCCTAGGAAATAGTAATTCTTTTTTTTTTTTTCCACTCCCGAACAGGGACTGGTCAGATGTAGTCAAGAGATCTGTCTGACTTAAGGAATACAAGCCAAAAGCAGAAGCATGTGGCTGGAAAGGAGATCGGTCTTTTTAAGGTTGGCTGTGTGTTTTAAGTGAACTTGAGGTGAAGCTGTCAGACTCCACTGCAGAAGGCAACAGATATTTGTGCTAGTCTCAGCAAGCAAGGAAAAAAAAGAAATGTAGTTTCTCTTTTTTTTCTTTGGTCTATAAATTATATTCCTATGTCTTAAGATATGGCTATGAGAGAATTAAGTTTGGCTGGGTAGAGAAGTGTGTGCAAATGTATGCTAAACAGAAAGAGACTATCAGATCAGTGCAGTGCAGAAGTTTGTACCTCTGTGCTCCCAGGTATATGGCTTTAAGATACATCCCAGGCTTGGGGACCAGACAATGGCTTTCAAGGATCCTCTGATACACAAATTGTCCCAACACTTCTCCTGCAGAGGAGTTTGAGGAGATATACTCATCCCATGCAGCCAAGTAAGCTCTTCAGTTGTTCAGACCCTAGCCAAGAGGCCTTTTTGTAGGTGGTCACTATAATCTGAACGTTAGCAAAATTAGTGGTTGAAGGAAAAAAGTTAGCACTTTCCAGGCCCTTTAAAGCTTTGACAGAAGCAGCTGCCTAAGACATTACTGTCTTCGGGTATCCTTTGCTAATGGCTTCTGCTTCCTTGGCTGAGAAAGTCTGGCAGGGGTTTAGTCATTTCAGGCACCAGTTTGACATCTGAACTCAAATCCAATTTAACAGCAGCTCTTTAAGTTAAATTGCCTGATTTGACCTTGAAACAGACTGGCAAGCACTCAGACAGTCTTCAAGGAGCAGGCAGAAACAAGTACTGGCCTTGAGGAATGCTGTCATCTTCAGCAACCGCAGGCTGTGGTAACTATCTGCCCCCACCTTCAGGTCCCTGTAAAATTGTATCAGAAACTTCACCTTAATGTTCCATAGCCGTTTGTTGATGCTTTGCTCTGTATACTGCACCAAATCTAACGTAGTCGGCTTTGCAAGAGCTGCATGCCCTAAATTCAGTGAAAATACTTGGATAAGGAGCAAGAGAGCATTTGCTGTTCAAGCCATTAAAATGATACACCGTCATCCCTTTGGAAGAATGAGTATGGTCCCAACATTAATTTAGATCACAATTTTAATGTTTGAAAACTAAGAGGTAACAGAGAGATCATAGAACTTGATACATTTTATTTACACATGAAAAACTGTGTTGTTTATTTAGGTATGAGCAGCACAAAGTTAACAGGTGATGTTAACAGGAGCAAAGTATTACTGATGACTCACTTCAAAAATCTATTAGAGATGAGCTTGTGTCAAGCATACATCATTCAAGCAACATTGTTTATACTGGATCTGTGTGAGCCTTAGCATATGTTGGGACACTAAAAACAGGTTTCTATAAACAATGTAAAGTTCAAGTCTAGTGGAAAAATATCTTTACAGTTTATATTTTATTGGCTATAACATTGAAAACAAAACATACACTGGTATTAATTTGCAAAGCTCTGTAGAACTGACTGCATATAGTTTTTTTTCCCTCAAATTTGTGCTCACGATAAAAGCAAATGTTATTTCAAGTTTCATTTTCATCCAAGCCCATAAAGTAAACATGGAAAAAAACACAATTATTTTTAGATGCATTTCTTAACCTCCATTTTTCAGCAGTCCTGAAAAAACATTTCCATGCTTTACTAGTGAGAAAGTCTATGCAAGGCCTCTGATGAATGCACTCTCAGGACATACCCAGCCCTCCCTTCCCTCAGCCCTGAACACGCAGCTATCCAACGACCGCCGCCTGTTCACAGGGTGGGATATGCAAGCAGTCCCTGGCCAGGGAAGCTCTTGGAAGCCTCAGGTCCAGCGTTTTGGTTGCATGAGAGCAGCAGGGTCCGAGGCAGAGCAACTACAGAACTCTGCAGGAATGGAGGGGGCTGGAAACTGCACCAATTGCTCTGCTTGCTGCCGATCCCTAGCTTGTCATACTTTTTTTCTGAATTACTGGCATTTCTGATGGCTGAAAATGGAAATGCAGAAGCTCTGCCCTGACTTTTGTTAGCACTAATTGGGTAAATACATGCCTGGATACAACATGGCATAATGCTAAGTTAAATTGCTGGCTGCAGTTTGCCATGGTTTCTTCTATAAAGCCTTTTCAGCACTCTACTACCAACTGACCCCAGCTGAGGAGGTAAGCAGTATCTGGGTACCAAAGGGGCCCTTTAACAAGGGAGGTATTTTACCCAACAGGAAGACTGGCAAACTTGCTGGTGAGAAAACAGGGACTCATGCACTGGAATTAATCCTAGCAATTTAACTGGACCTTTTATTTATCTTTTTAGTTTAGGGATGTAATTATAATTTCAAGTTTAGGATTTAACTTGTGAACTCTTGGGAGAAAGAAAAGGATATACATTTTGCTAAGAAGCTAAAGTATTTGTATTTCTATTAAAATTATTGTTAATATGCAGAGCCCATCTCGACACTTCTATTCATAGGGGATAAACAACTGCAAAAATATACAGCATCCTATTTATTTACAATATATATGTACATAAAAATGAAATTTCCTACAATACAACACAACTGCATAGATTTGTCTTCAGAAACATAGGTATGTGTACAATTTGTGAATTCTAGACTTTCCAGCCCTGTACCTTTTATTAATTAGTTATCTTTTTTTTTCTTCACAGTTTGTTACAGAAATCCTTACATTAGATACAAATAAAACATTCTTTGCTGTACGTTATAGGAAATAATGATTTTCTGACGCCAAGGGCTCTGGGGATTTGTTTATGAAAGCACCGTGGCGCCAGCTGATAAAGCCATCTCATGGAGCTGCTGATGGAGCAGAGTACATTCTGTGGTGCCTTTCTCCTACAGGCACTGGGGTGGGGCGGTAGGACTGGAGGTGGGACACCACCACATGAAAAGTTTTGTTTTGACCAAGGTGCTCTTTAGCCTTAATGTAAGGTTCAAGCAAAGAAATGTATAAATTTAAAGATAAGCTAGACATACCATTAATTGTTACTGTTTAATACTCAATATCAGAGAGCTGTGTTGCGCTTATGCATTGTAAGGCAGATATACAGACAAAACCCACACATCATCCAACCCACACTTGCATGTGTGACCTATTACAGGTGGAGCACAGGCTTTGGGTTCATATGTGGCTCAGAACAGCAGTCCTCGGAGAGGATGAACATCCCCATCCCTGACCTCGCAGGATGACACCAGCTCTTGTGCCCTAGGCTTGCATATGTGCCAGGCACAGCTTGGTCAGTGTCAGCTCTACAAAAGGTCTGTGCTGGTGCACAGATTTGGCATTGGCCCTCTGACCAGGAGCAAGCATCATCCAGAGAGGTCATTGCCCCGAGATACTGTTCCCAAATAACAATTGATTGTGTTCTACTACCTAGGCATGTTTTCCATTGGACAGAGAAGGGCAGCTGTATTATGGTTGCTTTAAGCCCATAACTATTTTCTTTGCAATGTGCTGTGGACTAGGAGAGGCAGCAAGGTTGTCTTTTAAGTGTAGGATTAACTCTTACAATCTTATTATTAATCCCTGCTTCTAATTAATCCTTCCTTGTCCCTCACCACTCGACTGTTGTTACTACACACATGAGAATTTTAAAGTTTTTTGTTGCAATTATTAGGAGCAATTTTGCATCCAGTTGATGACACTTGCAGTGCTCACAATTGTGATAAACTCTCTATGAAAAGAAAGCATGCTATCACCTACTAAATAGATATGGTATTCTGGATCCTATTAATTTTACAACAGAGAAATTTCTACAGCATTTCACTGTGCTCTTAAAATCCTAACTAATATGTAGGACTTGTACAATTGTGGCTACAGGTTCACTACTCCAAATGAACTGAATAACAGCAGTACATTTTACAGATAACCTCATACAAATATTGTCATCCATCACTGATGTTGACAGTTACAGCAGGGTCTATTGCATTCTGTTAAGAATGTATAAACCTGATGAGAAAACAAAAAGCACGTTATTTCACGTTCATTACCACAGACATCAATAAACACATGACTCCTTTCCATAAATATCTATAAATATGATGCCAGTAAATCAGTCTAAGCAAAATTCCCTCTTTTTTTTTTTTTTTTTTTCTCTTTTTTTCTTTTTTAAGAGACCCAGAAACAGAGTCTGTTTAAAGACTTAATATTTTGGGTATCTATTTCTTTTCATATAAGACATGCTTTGGTGGTTCAGTACCTTGGGTAATTTCACTCCTATGCACACTCAGCTAGTTCTCCCTATTTATTCAGTAAAATTCCAGTATACAAATAAACCGGGGAAAAGGAGAAGGCAGAATAGCAAGAGGAGAGAGAGAGTAATAGTGATGGAGGAGATTTAGGAAGATGAACAAACAGTGACCCAACAGCCCTTCAAGTCGAAGGAAGTAGGGTGCCAAAGTTCAATGGTTCATATTTCAAACAGCAGACTACAGACTATTTGCGGGGAGAAAGAAGGAGGAGGATGTCACATATGTGACCTTGCTGGAACCCTGTGCAGCAGATCAGACCTGTAGCTCATACCTGGATACTTGAAAATCATTCCCAGAATCTCGTCTCTCACAACCCCCCAGTGCACAGAGCTGTGCTGCTCATTAATCAGTAGTAGAAGAAAGATAAAGGGGGAGGAAAGCAGGAGAGCCCGATAGCATCTTGAGGATAACACTGTACAGCATTCTCAGGTTGGAGTTAGGTTTTTAGGATAAGATCCAGAGAGATTATAAGGGACCTCAAAACTTGAAATGCAACCTCAGCAATCTGAGTCAGAGAATGGAGTAAGATGCTGGGCTTCTGCTGCAGTGGCCTGCAAAAGGAAAACCACAAATTTACATCCCAAGCTGAGAAGATGCCTGGAATGAGGTGCAAAAAGATAAGAACAAAGCACAGGCTCCCCAGAGCTTGCCTAACACCTAGTCTTGAAGGCTGTGGTATGGACTTCTCTGTGAATAAGGGCAGGGATCAGTACCATAAGGGGACAGCACAGAGAGAACTGGTGACCTGCACCATCACAGGCAAAGGTCTGAGACCAGCCACAGAAAAGTACAAGGGACCTTAGGGCAGGGGTCCCAGGTAGCTCAGCAGTTTGTATGTTAAAGGCTGGGCTAGGGGGTGCTCGGGAGAAGGATGAAGCACCAGAGACCTTGCTGGGAGAAGGCTTCCAGTTTTGTTCTTGCTACTGTGCTACTCCAGGTACTAGGGCAGCCTGTGGAATCCACTGTGCCTTATTTCTGGATCACACTGAAGTATTATCAGAGGCAAGCACCTCACTGCCTATGCTAAGGTACAGATCTGGAAGTCTGGGCTTAGTAGGCTTAGTTTCTGCGTAATGAACCATCAGCATCTTCAATGCCCAAATTCCTAGGAAGGCCCCAGACTAACCTCTCTGGATGTTATCTTTAGAAACCAACTTTCAGGGTCCTGAGATATGTTCTGTGGTCTCAACTCTCAGTGGCTTAAAGCCATGTAGGACAAGGCAATGGCAACTGAGGCAGTTCAGTAGCTCACAATATTGAATACCCAAATACTCTGTCCCTAACTTTAAAAAGAGCAAGTTGCAATGACAGGTTCCTCACAGCTGATGACAGTCTGCTTCCACAGTTACAAAGGGAGTTTTCAATTAACCAGCTACTGAGAACGAGAGGGTCACTGCAAACTGAGATATGGCTCGAGCATACCAAGGGCATCATAGCCCTTTGGCATGAAGTGGGGCTTCCTTTAGCCATCAGTTCTTTCTGTGGGAGCCATGTTCATATTCTGAGACACTTTTTAGCTAACACAAAGTGAACACGTTTACGCTGCTGGCAGTGTACTAATAGAAGGTATCTGCTCAGGATGGTGAGTGATCACCTGCTTAGCTTTTGAGTCTCTACAAGTGGTTCTCTACACCAGCTATAAGGCATTAGGCAAATGCTTATTCTGTGGACAATTGTCACAAGTTACAGTGCTTTTGCTATTAGAAACTGAATATCTTCTAATTGTTATGGAGAACTAATGAAAAATGTAAATGAAACCTTTGAAATATAAAAAATATTTCTGTTCATTTAAAGAAATGTTGCAGATTTCAATTTCCATTAAAAATCTAGTAGTTTGGCAGAGTGAGTCAAATCCTGCTCCCACTGCAGTCAAAGACTCCACTGACTTCAGTGGGAGGAGGGTAAGACACAAGAGAGGAGCCAGTCCCTACAAGGTATGGAAAAGGCATGAGGTATGATTAAATGCGTAGGTTTTGATAAAACTGGAGCTTGGTATTTTTTTCGGAGAGCAATGAGGCATTTACTAAACAGTCTAATGCTGAAGAAAATGCAGACTTCTTATGGAAATCTCCAAATGTCTGCTTCTCTTCAGACTCAAGAATTCATGGTTGGGGGTCAAGTTCCAGTCAACCTCCAACTCAAGTGTGCCAGAGGAATAGTGGCTGGTGGTGGTGACTATCTTTCTCCTGCTCCCTGCTCCACATAACAAAGACACACACGCAGACACACACACAGTCTGTTCCCCAAAGCCATGAATAGGCCAAGCCCTGGGGCTAGTTCACTCCCCAAAACATCAGAGAGAAGCACCAGATTTAGGACCTACGCTTACACAGCACTCAGCTATGCTCTCCTGGTGCTTTTCATGCCTTTATCCAGAATGCTACACTTAACCCAGTGAGTCAAATGGTGCCTGAAACAGCAATAGAACAAACAAACAAACCAACAAACCAGATGCATACAATTAGAGAGCAGAGTTTTGGCTAAAAAGAGGGGGGAGGGATGTGAACAGATAACACTTTAATTGGAATTTATAGCAACAGGTGCTGCTGCCCTAAAGGAGCAGAGCTTGTGGCTGGAGGGCTAAGGATAATAATGGAACAATGCAATTCATGGGTGGAAGAGGGGAAACTAATTGTGATGAATTTCTATGAGCGATGCTTTTTATAATCTCATGGACAATTAACATAGACTTTTTGCTGATCAGAGAGTGATATGCCTGTTGGAAGAATGGGTCTGTTTTCTGCAAGAAAATACTCCCATGACAGTATTTTCAGTACTGGATAATCATTATTTGGATTTGATTTGAGTAAACTCACAAAAGGTGGAATAGACAACAGAACGGATGGTTGCGATTTTGGTGTGTAGCAAACAGGGGTATCTTCTTTTGAGAAGAAGGTGAACTTCAGTGGCCTTCGCCACTGCCTCCTGATTGTACCCAGTCATAGATGACCAAGGGAATGCTCACTAGGGAAAACAATACCCCCAGTGCCAAGAAAAGAGAAGCCTGAAACAAAACAAAAGGGAGAAGATTAACAAATAAAAAGAAAAGAAATTAATTCAAGTGTGTTAACTTCTCTTAAGGAGATGTACAGGGTGATGTGTCAAAGTTATCAGCTAAAATGAGATAGCACTTCTGGTAAAGACATGACCCACAGATAATTAAACAGATTAGCGTCATTAATAATTACTTGCTGAACACCAAACTAATTTTTTTTCTCCTTTCAATTCACTTCTTAAACACTGATCATCCCTAAAGAGGATTAAGTGAGTCTGTTTTTAGGACTGATCAGCTCTGCTCCTTCCAAAGCATCACAGAAATCAGTATGTTCTTCCCACCAGATATGTGTTGATCAAAGTTCAGCCCTTTTCTCATGGGATCTGTGGATGCAGCCAAAGTGAAACATGTTTTCTACCTGTCTGCTCAGAGAAGAGGTCTGACTGTACAATGCTTCCAGTGCATGCCCTGTTAGACTGGGAATACACAGGAGTGTTGCATCTTTTCAGCTCCAGCACTCTCTGGGGCTCACAGGAAATCTTTACAAGGTCCATTCCTATCCGCTCATGCATGCCAAACGGCTAACGTAACACTTAAGCTGGCTGCTTCATGTGGAACCACCCTAAGTCTGACTCAGGCCCATTAAAGCCATGAGGAATACTGCAAATGGAGCACTTTGCATGCTTCCTGGATCAATACACAGAAGCAGAGAGAGCTTGCTGTGCTGAAAGGCTTGTTGAAGTGGGCTGGAGGGCTTCCTGCACCCTGGTGACGACTGCTGCTGCTTGCCAGACAGGGAAGTACCTCATGCCACAGAGAAGGGTCTTCTCAAACATAAGATGCATGGCATGGTCCCTCCACCAGAGGACTCTCAGGGTAAGCAAAGGAGAAGGGTGAGCACAGCTGCCAGCTGACTGAAGCACAGATGGAATGTAATGTAAAGGAGCTCACACATATGCTCAGATTAGGTCTGCTTTGCACCTAGCACATTAAAGAGAATGATGAGGTGGAAGTGTTGCATTGATGGGAATGGAATGCATACCCAAATCCTCTGAGTCAACTTTGATCCATCCTCCTGTGTAATTTTTAAATACAACGATGAAGGAAGAATGAAAATCAGCATATTGGCAGAAGTGACCCCTGCAAAATTCAAATGAATGAGTTTTGTTAACTGTCAGCAACAGCTAGTTATGTGCTGCTGATTAGCAACTGTTTTTTTATTAGTAGTACAAAACCAGGATACTCTACCTACAACTCCAAAAATATCCTTCATGGATGGGATAAAAATGACTAACAGGTTGATGATAACCAAAAGAACAAAAGTAACCAAAACGTGACGGCATAAGTCAAATTTTGTTTTTCTGGCCATCTCGAATAATGATGAACGCACCTGTAGGGGGAGAGAGAGGGAGAGGAAGTTTTCGGTCAAGAATAGTCTATGAGCCAATTCAAAGCTTCCCATCTTTATTTTAACTGATTCTTCATGTGAAAAGTGCTGCATAGATCTGTCAGAATTTTGGGTTGCCTGAAGTAATGTCCTTTGAAATACTCCTTAAAACTAATTGATTGTTTCAGAACTGTAGGTACATGTGCATGTGCAGTAAGATATTCCTCTCTTTTAAATATGCCTTTTTGAATCCTTCTGCACTTAAAAAGGAACTTCACCTCTGAGCCTGCTCCAGTAAAGCGATGTGATGTAAGAGAGGACTCTTTTAGATTCAATTTAAAATAGGTTAAAGACCAAAAGTGATTTATTTACTTATTTACTGCATAGAGAACTTCTCCAGAAGTTAGTGGGAGCTTGGCAGGAGAAAAGACTAATCCATGCTCAAGCTCTTTTTGCAGTCGCAGCCATCACTGGACTATGGTTTGAAGGAATGTGCTGTGTATAGCTGTTACCAACTTCCAAACCATGCAGTCCTTTTTACTTACAGTGAAAAACAGCACTGGCACAGTGAGTATCACTGCCATAATCACAGCCAAGCGCACGGTCAGGATGAGGATGTCATCTTTGCTCTGGTATTTGTGAAGCAGATCTGACTGCACATTGTCTATGGGAAAGACAGTAAGGTAAGTGCTCTCGCAAAAAGGCAATTAGTTCACAAAAATCATTGCTTAACAACAGCCTTCTTGAACAACAAGTGATTTATCTGTAAACAAAAGAGTATGGAATGAAACGTCCTTGAGTTAAAACAGTGCTTTGAACAAAATCCCAATGATCCCATTATTTCAGATTAATCCTTTGGAGGTCTGATTTAGGAATGCATCTTAATTCATGACAGCACATGCCTAAGTCTACGGTAATTTTCACTGTAGAAAAGACAACAGTGAGACATACATGAAAGCTTGCTCACATATATACATATATACAAAAATAGGTAAAGTGAAATCAGCTATTTTTAATTGCTTTTTAAACTTTCGAATTATATAAACACATGCACTGCAATGGCTGAACTTAATACAAACTGCAAGGTCTTGAGCTAATAAACTTCCAGCAAAAAGCAGTGCCCCTGTTCTCAACTGAGAACAAAACCTATCTCGGGTCAGCTCTCATCAGGACACTCTGACATTTGCACTCAAATCCTTCAGCAGCTCCTCTGAGGGCTGCCAGCAGAGCCTGCAGCTCAGCTCCAAGCTGGCCAGCAGCCCCAGCAGCCATGACAAATCACAGGGGGTGCTTAACGGGGAGGTGCTGGCAATATTTTAATACAACCTTCTGCCAAAATATTTCCTTAAAGCAGTGATAAATAGTGCAGAGAAGGTCTGCATGTACTAACCAGCAGGAAAACCAAGTTGCTGAGGGACCTACGTGTTTGCTTTGCAATTTTTAAATATCCAGGAGCAATAATCAAAAGGGGTGGCTGTTAAGCATGCCACCAAACACACCTGCAGCCCCTTTTTACACCCATGTTTTGTTTCTGCCTACTAATCTTAGAAAGCTGGTGGTAAAATATAACAGCTCTTAAAAGGAACTCAGTGGCGACATCTAATTTACCATCTTTGGCACTTGGTAAAACCTCATGTATTCCTGGAGGCAGAGGGATCTGTCCTGTGGCAAAATGCCTACACTCCCACCCAGGGCGCCCTTCTGGATAGAGACCACAGGTCAACACCACCTAGGCAGTGCCTGAATCCCCACCAGGAGAAAGGAAATGCTCTCCCACCTCCCTACGGATCAGGAGTGGGGTTTCAAGCCGGGCACATGCACAGCTTCTGCAACACAGAGCTTACTCTGCTCCTGCAAGCACAGACTGCAACTTCTGTACCACTCACGGGCTGCAGCCAGGTAGGAAGTGAAGGGCAAGGCTTACAGTTGAAGATCTGTTTTCCTTTCAGCTAGATACACCACAGAGCCCAACCACACTGTGACCTTTTAGGGGAAGAAAAACACCTCTTTTCTGTAATTCTGCAATGTAAATATAGTCATCACTGCAACACTTTTGAGAACACAGCAAACAGACAAGTACTATTGGTGTAAAGAAGAAATGGTCACAATAAAAATACTGTTCTTACCCAGGTAAGGGTAGAGAAGAGGGTTAGAACACTGTAAGTGAACATATGAAAGGTAAGGTCTTTTCGGTCTCAAGGGGAAGAAGAAATGAATTTTATGGAGGAATTCTATATTCCCTCAGTGTCTTTTTTGCAGCCTGTCACTGCACTGACACTGCAGAAGCCCCAGCAGAGTTCTCTACAGCTTCCACTTGTGGGCTCTCAGTGCTGGAGAACAGGGATGCCTAATGTGGGAAGAGGCACACAAGACACCCCAGGGATTCCTCCGCCATTCCCCCTCAGGAGGGCCAGAAGGATGCAGCCCCTACCTCCTCCATGGACTCCAGACCCTCGTCCTTGAGGGATGTGGGAGATTCCCAGAGAGGAGCGCCACAGATCTGCCTCCTCAGATCCCTGGGGCAATCACATCAGAATCTCCTCCCTGCCAAAGCGAAGGGGTCCATGCTGATTTACACCCACTTGCTCCCTGGGGCTGCTAATTTGATGCATCTCTAGGAAAATGTGTTAGATGGGAGCAGCTGGATGAGAACGGCTGATGCTGTTGTCACTTGCAGCCTATTTGTGGGTTTATTGGGAAAATTAGAACAGATGACCTCAAATTACTTCAACACGTGTACTCAAGGCCTCATAATCAGAATGAGAGTCTGAGAAAGCAAATATGAGATAGGTACACCTTTGAAAAAAAATGCCACATTTCATATTTACTTTTTTTTTTTCTCTTGCAATTGGTGGGTCACAAGGGACAGTATAATGAATGAATAGGTTGTAACAAAAATGCCACTTGGAATAGGATGGTGAAGACTGATGGGTGACTCTGAGGTAAAAGGCAAACATCAGCTTTGTCACCTGTCTTGTAACCCCTTAACGGTCCATGGAAAAAGACACTATTCTCGTGATACTGGAACATGGGAGTTCCATGGGCAACATTCCCGGGAGTTCCCAGGCAACATTCATATTTTATCCTACTTTACTTAACAATTATGTCTTTAGGGCATACATATTGTATCCTCTAGCAAAACATAATTTGTCAACTGAATTGATATGCACGGAAATAGACAGGGGGGGAAGTCTCACACACTGAGATAACCATCCTTTGGTGGCTGAGCTGGGACAATGCTCAAAGCTTCCCCACCTTCACTGACTGTTTAACGAAGACCTAAAGAGGTCAGCTCTAGGGACACAGGGAAAACATTTGGTCTGTTGTCTCTATGATGAAAGCATTACTAAGAAAGTGAAAAAGCTGTGATGGCTGATTTGTTACTCATTTCATAGGACCTGCTCTCAAATGTGTCTCAACTTTTGCAAATATGCATGCTTCAGCCATTACCAATGCACACATCATTCAGGTGAGGACCTTGGAACAAAATCTTGGTGGGGCCCAGCTAATCCCTAATTCAGCAAAACAAATTTCTCCCTCATATTTTGAAAATGCCTTTTGCAAATAATACTTTCACTTGTGCTTATCATCCACAGAGGAAAAGGAGGAAAGGATTTATACCTTCAATATGAGAACTTTAAGGAAAATTATTTGGAAAAGTATTTTAATATAAGTGATGGGACTTCCCAGCTGGGATACACTTTTGATTTTACATGTATCCTCTTTCTACTCTGATCAGTAAAGAACCGCATACTTACCGTAGAAAGTCAAATAGCCAAATATGGCAGTCATAAAGTACATCAGAAACATGGCAAAAAATGAGATATTTGAAACCAACTGCATTTTTTTCTGTGAACGGCTGGAGAAAGAACAAGAAAAGAATACATAAGAATGGTTGGGCTGGATTTTTCCATAGCTGTTTCAAAATGTATTAGGTGTTTGCATAAGCATAGTAATTCTGGGGAGACTCATGAATGCATTTTCATTTAAAAGAGAAAATCACTGAGAGCTGCACAAGGAAGAAAAGGACTGGGGAAAAGGACCCTACTTGGGGCTCAAGTGAAAAAATAGTGGCTGTGACCTGTGGGTCTGCTCCATATCTGTACCTGCTTAAACAATGAAACCGTGTGGAGAGAGCATGACCCTGAAACACTTCGGTAATTAAATTAAAAGGTCAAAATGAAGGAAGCATAAAATTATAGAGACAAAAAAACCCCAAGAATAACTGGAGAGAAATATTTGTGTCCCCAAAGATAGAAAATACTGTATTTAGGCTGACCTGCAAAATAGGTTAAGTGTAAACATTTAATCTTTAGATATTTATGCTGAAATATTCATACTCCAGTACCTAAACTTAGACTTTTAAATCCATGCAAGGATGCCCTAATAAGTACCTGGGAACCTGCTCAAGTTACTTGAAATTTAAAGCGCCCAAAAGGTGTCTGAGGGCTAAGGGCAGTCATGGGTCTGACTGACCCTGACCTCCCCCCTGGGGCTTCCCCATGGCCCAGGACCCTATTGTAGCTGCCCAGGGCTGTCAGCAGTGTCACATCAGGGCTGGTCTCCAGCTGCCCATACCAGCTGGAGGAGTCAGTGAGACAGCAGTACCAAGAGAGGTCTTTTAATATCAGTAAGGCTGAAAGCACTTTTATTTTCCTCGTATTGAACAGATTTTTAGCTGCACTAATGCTGTGGAACAAACGCTGTTAGCAGAGCACAAGCTTCTCCTGTGCCAAATATCAACCGGCAGAACTTGGCTCTCTCCAGGCTGCTGTGTACTTCCAGGGAAAACTCCCAAGTATTGCATTATTCTCCACCTCCCTGGCCCCTGCCCCAGGGGCATAGCATGCCTGGGAGGCCAGATTTCCTAGCCGATGCTTGTTGAGTGTTACTGAAGCACACCTCTGAGTGGCACGAATGATTCAGAGCACCTCTGTCCTAACATTTTCCATGTAAAATAGTTCAAAACAATAAACTATTAAAAAAATAAAAAGAAAGGCTTACTCTTTAAGTTCACTGTAAATCGGGAGGACTGATGGGTGGCACACAAATGCAAAAGCAATGGTAGGCAAAGCGTACACGGTCTGTTCGGAGAGAATTTCAGAAAATAAGTTTAGAACTATTTCCCCCAGTGGTGTGAAGCAATGTTCCATGTTCAACTACCTCAGCTCCCAGCTCGCTGGACTCTTCAACTGAACATTGAGAGCCTTTCTGAGAAAGCAGAAGACCTGTCAATTAGCATGTATTTAATGAAATGTGGAAAACAGTGCGCTTTCAACAGGAGGACAAACTCTGCGTTGGTGGTGTAAGTGCAGCACTGACTGTGCTCACAGAGCACAGAGCTGGATGCCACACTGCTGCTGGCTTTGCCCACTGGGATGGCTTTGCCTACCCAGCTACTGCCAGCATTACTAGCACATGTCACACGTAAAAGGGACATATGGTGTGTCACCACTACACTACCCTGCCTTGGCATGGAGAGGGGTGCGCACCCATGGTGCTAAGGCTGAAGTCCTGAAGAGGAAGCCCGTATCCAGACTGTAAGAAAAGAGAACAGGAATGCAGAACTTACAAATAAATGGATATTTCAAGGTACCAGACTGAATCCATTAATTTCCCAGGCCAACAAAAGGATTAGGAGGGCTGTGGAGAAAGCATGCTTTTTCTTGGGGAAAGAGAAAGACCATTATATCACCAGAATACGTGGGAGGCCTCCAAGTGGGACCTCAGCCCCTTCTCCACTAAGAACTTGAGTGAGTTTCAGTCCTCAGCCAAACTTCAAAAATGGCATCAGTGCTCAGGCACTTCCATACTCCTGAGGGAACAGGGATGAGCAGAGGTCACAGGAAATTATAGCTCCTCCTCTAAGGACAACATGAGTCCATTCTACATGCGGCTCTGTCCTGCCCTCTGAGATCTGCTTGTGCTGGTCCACAGGCATCCCCTTCCCACACAAGACATCCTAAGGTGCACCCCAGGCCTGACAGATTCAGTAAATGCACTGGTTGCTCTCCGGAGGTCCTTTCTTGCCAAGGCCTTTGCCACCTCTCCCTCACTCAGAGAACAGTACTGCTGTGGTGTCTCCATCTGTAGGGATCTCAGAAGTTGCCTGGACAGAGTGCTGGGTGGTCCTGCCTCAGCACAGGGGTTCAACCAGGTGACCTCCAGGTCTCTGCCAACCTTGGATATCCTTCTATTCTGTCCTGTGTCTCCTCTCACGCACTGAAGTTGCTAAAATGACTGGCAAATTGCTGGCCCTGAGGGGAAACCTCTGGAGTTCAGCTTCAGTGTGCCTAATTGAGATGGACCAATCCTTCCGAGATGCTTCCATTGTCTCTGAAGCAAATGCTGACACTCGCTGCAGAAGAAGACTCCCCTTCAATGCTTTCTGAAATATATCTACACCTAAGCTGCCATGGCACAAAAAGTTAACTAATTCTTGGTCCATTGTGCCAGATCTGGGGTGATGGGTACCCCCAACCAAATAAGTTTTTCCCTTGGTTTCTTCAACTGAAGCTGGCAGGTTAAATTTTAGAAAAATATACTTTTTGCACACCTCTGCTATAAATGTGCATTCCCTATGAATGCAACTAAGGAGGAGGACCATGAGGACCTGAGGACCACGCCCTGATGGATAACGTGCTGTTTCACTGGGAGCACTGCATCCCAGCACAGCTGACAGAAGCCATCCTCCTGCTCCTACAGTTACAGACAGCTGCCCTCTCACATTCTCTTAGACCAACTTTTTCTGCAGCTCCGTGGTGATGGAGGGAAGCATCCAGTTGCAAGGCAACCAAATTTTTGCTGGATGATCCTTCAACCATATCCTTTTCATAATCCAGTTCCGCAGAGCTACAGAAACATCTACCCTGTTACAAAGAAGTGGTTTGTGTGCAGAAGGACTATGGGCTTTGGATGCAGGCGTGGCCTACTCAGCCTCTACTGAGCAACAGCCTAAAGGCACAGTTGCAGCATGGATAGTAAGCAGCAGTGGAAATGAAAAATCTCCTAAAGAAAGCAGTTATTGTCCAGTGGTAGCTTAGGCTCATAACCTTAACATATCTACTACCAGGGCAGGACAAGACTGCACAGAGGCACATTCACCATAGCATCTCTGTAAGATTGGGAAGGAAACCCATTGTGCATTTACCAGTGGATCACAAGTGGAACCATGGAGAATCAGGCCCTTTGTGGTGCTGATCAGAATAAGAACATGGGGTGTAGGTGCATATATTATGTGAATTAAAAGTAAGTATTATTAAAAGAAACATACCTTGGAATTAAAGATAACATACTTTGGCTTACACGTATGTTCTGAGCTATTTGATAGGATAGATAATGTTGCATTTAGCCCTTGTCCATCACAGGGAATTTGAAACTTCTTGTAAATAACCTAGAATAAGAGCAGAAGATAGCTAATTGCTAAAACAATAATAAAAAGTAAATTAAAATTAAAATATCAGTGTAATTGTGGGCATTCTGGCCTGTATCAGCAATAGGGTGGCCAGCAGGACTAGGGAAGTGATCATTTCTCTGTACTCAGCACTGGTGAGGCGTTCCCTCAAGTGCTGTGTCCATTTCTGGGTCCCTCAATACAAGAAGGACATTGAGCTGGAGCATAGCCAGAGAAGGGCAACAGAGCTGGCAAAGGGACTAGAATGAGTCATCAGAGGAGCTGCTGAGGAAGCTGGAGATGCTTAGCCTGGAGAAAAAGAGGCTGAACAGGGACCTTATCATTCTCTACAGCTGCCTGATAGGAGGCTGTAGCCAGGTGGAGCTCAGCCTCTTCTTCCAGGTAACAAATGATAGGACAAGAGGAAATGACCTTAAGTTGCACCAGGGGGCGTTCAAATCAGACATCGGGAATTTTTTTTTTCCTAGAAATGGTTGTAAAGCATTGGAAAGACTGCCCAGGGAATTGGTGGAGTCACTATCCCTACAAGTGCTCAAAAAACACACAAGTGGATGTTTCACTTGAGGACATGGTTTAATGGTGAACAAGGTGCTGGGCTGATAATTGGACTTGATGGTCTTAAAGGTCTTTTCCAGCCTTAACAATTCAACCACTCTAAGTGACTCATGCAACAAAGAAAGTGAGCTGAACTTACCACTACCAGGAAAAATACCATGCAGCTTAATGAAAATCCACTCGTATAGCCAAGGTATCCTAAAAGAAATTAAAAGGAAGTCTCATACAGAATAATTTTATTAGTCTGATCTTGGTTTTTACTGCTTTTTTCTTCTTCATGAGAAGTTCAAATGTATTAAACATTTAATATGTATTAATATGTATTAATATGTCTGGGCAAGACAAAACAATGTCCTGCTGGTGTGGGAGTCTCCCAAAGCCTTTCAAGTCTCCTAGCTTTTGGGCAAGCCTAAGCCTGGCTCTGACATGTGACTTCCTCAGGGTCACCACAGTTTAACTTTTACTTTTAAAAGAGGCTGTGATAATTGAAAAAAACCTGAAAACCTGAAACTGTGCAATTACAATCTGAATGTGACCCAGGTTCCCTGAATCACGTAAGCTGAGTTTGGGGTTTGGTCACAAAAAGAAGATCCCAAATGGACTTTCGTGTCAAATGTTGTTACCAGCATGGTTTAAAAAAAATACACTTTGTACCACTGGCATCTCAGTGGATTCAAACACAACTGAAAATGCAATTCTTTGTACATTTCTTACTTCAAAGTCCAATACTTCCAATTAACCTCACCGGTAAAAATTTTGATACTGATAGAAAAGTAACATTTTTTGTAATCTTACCATATGTGAACTTGTTTTTATGAACTGTACATAAAACTGAATTACCTTATGAAATGAAGACCCTCTTAACTTTAATTTTTAAAATCAATTTTATATATACATCTATACAATTGTATGGATAAAGCTGGTTTATACGGAGCTCAATCACTGTGATAATTTAGGCCTACTTGTTTCAAAATGCTCAGCACACAGATTATTTCTGGATCAGAGAGGCTGCTTAGATAACAATGAGAGCATATTTTTCTTACTATAGTTGAATTGTCAGTCTGGCCATGAGTGGCATGATATCTGGGTTCGTTTTTTGATACTCATAATGGCATTTTCATCTTACCTAAGTTCTTCAGGAGACATAAAGGGAGGATTATACAAAATGTGACTGTGACAACAAGAATTCGTCCATCCACGTACCATTCCCTGTACAAAACATTAAAAAAACCATACCATAGGCACATCTCAAACATTTTCTGGTTTTCCTTACTCAGTCTTTGATTGATATACTTAGGGAACTATCTCTGCTTTCCTTACCCTACAAGCTCCTACAAAAGGAGAGAAGGGACCACATCTTGGCTTTGTAGACTCATTAAGTATCCATGGCACTGCTCTGATTCAGACAGGGCAGATTTCCAGGGTCACCAAAGTATTATCCTAGCATGGAGATCAGTGCATGGGTCTGAGAGGCAGAACCACCACGTCTGTAACCTGACATGAACCACCCGGCCAGGATGACAAAAGATTGCACAAAGGGAGTGCACAGTAGGGCTGGGGGGCCACCACAAGTCATTTGCCAAACCACCCAGGCATGTGACTGGAGCAGCATACTAGGCTCCAGCAGCCTGGCATATACTAGCTAGCCCAAGTCTGCATCTCCTCTACCAAAGGGCTTTACATCCTACTGTAAAGAAAGAAAGAGGAGAAGGGGCAGTGTTAGTGATGTTCTGTACGACCTATTTCCATTGCTTGGTATAGTGGGAAAGCCTGAAGAATGGAATCTCTACCACCTTCTCCTACACTGCAGCACACCATATAATCCAGTGCAAGGGGTATTTATTAGTATAAAAAAATGCTACCCCTCTACTAAAGTAGCTGGTAAATGCCAAAGATAAAGGGCAGAAATCTTACTATTGTATTCTGCAGTTATCATATACTGGTATCAAAGAATTTTACTCTGTGAACATTGTTTCAGGGGCAAAATCATGTAAGAGGCTGAGAACTCAGGGAAACACATAGTATCTTTAACTTGCATTGTTCCCAATATTTCAAGTGTTGCCTAACACTGTAAAATACTGGATTCTATGATAAGTTTTGTATATAACAAAGTTCTTAATGAAAAGCTGGTGTGCAAAAAGGGCAACTAAAGCTTTCATTTCCAATCCATCTTCTCCTTCCCAAATCTGTCATCTTTTATTAATTCCCTGAGAGATTTCTGTGAAAATCTACTTTGATAAACCTAAAGGGTATCCAATACTTCAGAGCTTTTGTAAACATATGATTAAACTTTACTATAAAATGTTAAATTCTACAGTCCAAGTACCAGAACTAATTCAACTTACAAAAAGGTTTCTTCTTTTCCCATTAGAAATTTTATGGCAGAAGGTAGCTCATTTTTGACTATGAAGAGATAGCTCAACATTGCTGGAAGAAGAAGATGAAGATAATTTTAGAAAATGGGTAAAATAGTTTGTGGAACAAGTACCAAGAAGCATCCTTAACCTTTTCCCACATCAGTGTCTGATGACAGAAGACCCCCAAACTATGACTGACTGTAAATTACTGATCACTCAGTAATACAGTATGTTTAAAGGGCTGCATGTAAAATGATAGCCATAACAATATTGAGGAGCATGAAGATCCCTGGATGTCTTGGAAAGAAGGAACCTGACTTGTTTGTAGCTGCAAAAATTATTGAGATATACCTGGGCTTTGTTTTTCAATATTCCTTATTTCCTTTACCTCCAACATTCTGAAGAGATGTAGAGCCAAAGACAATCATTTTCCCTGGGGTACCAAAGATCTGCTCACCAAGCTTTTCATACACCATGCAGCCTGAATGAGAAGAAGAGAAAGGTAACACATACACTACTGAAGGCTGTTGAGTTGAAGCACATACAATTCCTTTTCAGCCAAGCACTAATCTATGCAGCCAAACCTGCCTTTTACAAGTAAACAGGATGCTCTCTTGTAATTTCTAGGGCTGAAAATTATGTAGGAATGTTTTCTTGACTTCTGTAAATGTTACTGTTGGCTACCAGTCACTTCTGAAATGGAAGCTCTTAATGAGAGTATGACACCCCTTTAATGAGTCTGTCTATACCCCGAGTGACATGTTAAGTTCATCCTTATCCCAGTATATTAAATTTTGCACCGGCAATGAGAGTAATGTAGGAAGGCTCCTCTCCATTAAAAAGCACAGCAGGATCCCCAAGTCAGCCCTGACAGCCTGGACACACATTACTGCCAATCTGCAGTTCTGCTTGCCTTGGCTGAATGATCAAGGGAGGAAGCCATTGGTTTAAAGGATCATTTATGGCTTCTAATGACTAATGACAAAGCCTTAACGTGTGAATTCACAATGTACTTGGTAAAGCAGGCAAAGGTGTAAAATATGTGTGAAACTCCTCTATTAATTGGTTTGTGTTTAAGGTAAATGTTTTTTTTTACTTGGCTGTCATGTAGGCTGATAAAAAGACTGGGCATTTTGAAGATGGTGAGATCCAAAGGAACAGAAAGAAAAATATTGCAGATGTTATACTGGGCAAATGATTTTAAAAATGTATCCCATTATCTAGTTTTCTCTATATTACCTTACAGCTGACATTTCTGCTTTGAAGTTCGTGTAAAAAGTAAGTTTGAGCTTAACTGTACCAGCAACACAGAAAACAGGACTTAGCTTTTGGGAAGTAATGGGGCACAAATGTATCCACGTTGAGGAACTTGTACCTAGTTTAAACAGGCAGTTACTGACATCATACGTGTTATAACTGTAATCATGTGTGTCCAAATTGCCTATTTAAATATTACTCTATTCTTGTGCAGATTATTTTAAAATAATTAAATATTATTAAAATATAGCTTTAGACATTGTTAACAGGGAAAGAAGCTCTTGGAGTTCAGAACACATTGTCATTTGACATAAGCCTGCAGGCAACTTCTAATTTCTATGTTTAGATAGTGTATCTGTGTTACAGTTACACTCCTCTCTGTGAAGGAACTTCTATTTTATTCTAAGAAAACTCACCACAAAGATTATCAGGAGTTTCACACTAACCACTAAGGACAAACTGTATTTCTAGGTAAGCATCACCATAGGCAAAGATTCATTATATTTCATTTGCAATTTGATTTGTAATGCAAAGAAACTATATGAGCTGTTCCTTCTAGCTCATTGAAGTTAACATTTCTGGGCAGCAGAATTAATTCTTTGTCACAAGTTTTTCTCTTTACAGTGATGCTGTTGTCCATTGCCATGCCATAAATTCTTCAAATTCTTGTTAATTATAGGCTTCTGACCCAAAGGGTGTCAGGCCTTCCTATTATGTCAGCAAAGTGATAAAAACCACCATCTTACACAAAGCACCAGGCCTCATTTGAACACTGTCACCTCTTGATTTTTACATTCTACTGAATGGTGTAACATCTTAAATTACCTGTTTCCTTTGAACACACCAGCAGGAGATGAATTGAATAAATAGACAGCAGTGTGACCGAAACCAAAAGCAGCCTAAAAAAGAATGGAACATAAAGTTTACCATATGAGATGAGGTCTGACATTACAATATTTCATGTCAGGTCATGTTCCTATCAATTTTGAGATAATTTTTTATCCTTCTGACAATGCAAAAAAGCCCTAAAATACATGCGATTCACATCCTGCTTGCAGTTCCACAATGGAGGTAGAAAACTCTGCAAGTAGAGGTATACAACCAAATAAAACTTAGCAGAGCTGCGGAGCACTCTTAGTGAGTCACACCTTCCCATATTGAAAAAAGCAAGAATAAAGTTATTTTATCAGATAGGAATGAAGATTTATCAGAGCACAGACAAGTCAGATATGTCACTCAAAATCCATTCTAAGGCTTTTTTTTTCTGGAAGCAGAGTGAAAATTTAAAGGAAAGTCTGGTATTTAAGGACTTCCATACTGAATGAAAGCATCTTTTCTCAGGACAAGTTTCATACACTACCAAAGGGGCGCCCAAATGGCTTTTTATGCGCCCCACAGTGCCCAGGGAGGAGGAAGATGGGGAGAGTTAAGGTTTGACTGGCTTCCCTTGTGAATAAAGCTGAACCAAAGGCTTGTACTTTGTCCAGCCAGGGATTCATGTGCCCTCACTGAAGTCAGTGCTGGTCTGACATGATCCGTAATTTAACTTCAGACAGAAGAACTGCAGGAAGTAATGACCAAACTGTTTGTGTAGGGAACTTGCGGGCACAAATGATAATTAGTCAGTGCTGGGGGCCAAGTACATAAAAGCACATTTTCTCATTGCTCAATGTCTTTAATTCAAGCACCATGTGTGCCTTCCTCTCCAACTGACACACAAAGACCTGATGATGTTTTCATGATGTGTGCGAAGAGCATTCAGACAATCTGTTGGCAATTCCTCCCTTTATTATGACAACTACTCTTCAGAAACCAAGAAAAACAAGGCTAAAATTCAAGAGAAAGCAAACTGCTGCCATAGATAGACAGCAACACATCTTTTTCATAGGAATAATAGAAAGAACAGAATGAGAAGCCTTCTCCTCCCTACTTTTTTATTAGTTTAGACTGGAAATACTTTAGGTGCCAAATAATGACTGACTAGTTTCTTGGGGCCAGATGAGCAAGGAGAAACATAAAGAGGTAATAGGAGAAACTGTCCTTTCGCCAGCAAAGAATGATGGTTGACAATAACAACATACTCTTTGTACAGCCCTAAGGGTGTTTCTCCTCGAGAAGGTGGAGGAGGGAAGGAAGACTGTACTGTCTGAGGTCACTCTGGTCCATTTTTTATGGATTTGCTAAGCCCTGCTCCTGCCTGTGTTCCCTGCCGAGCTGTTCCGCCCCTGTCTGCCCACAGACACAGCGCTCAGCCCCAGTGCTCAGCTGCTGGGGCTGACTCACTCCCAGCCCCAAATGGCTACAACTCTGCATGCCAGCATCCAGTCTGTCTTAATATTAAAAGCTTCTGTTTTTCAGGCACTGAGCTCATGGAGCCTTTGCAGTGATAAAAATAACACTCCCAAGCCGCCAGGTATTTATCTGATCTGCTGACCTTAGCTCCCCATAGGGTTCCTACAGACACTTGGCATTTTCATTAGCACTGTATGAAAAACTTATTTGTGCTGGGCCTGTGGTATGGACAGGAGTATTCGTGCCAGAATCACCCCTTGGAAAGGAATGAAACTGTCCATGTCACTCGCTCTGCACAAATTCAAAACAGAAGCAGGGGAGCTTGGGCTGCAGTCCCAAAAGCATTCCCCTACTTCTTATTTCGTCTGCTTTCAAAGAAGTGCTGGTAGCTACGGAAGCCAACAGCAGATGCAAAAGTTACCTTCCCCCAAAAGAATAAACAGTTTAGGCCAGGGGACTAATACAGTGTTGGGAAGAACAAAGTGCTTCTGTGATGCCACTGATGTCTTCTCCCAGATGCCACATTTACCAGGTACACTGAAACCTGTGCTGTCCCTCCCCTCTGTGAAGTCCCAGGCTTTGGGGCCAGGAGACCTGTGAGGCTTATGCAATCACAAGAATTATTTTACTGAGCAGTTCTGAACCCTCAAAAGGTGCAGAGGATGGAAGAGCGTAGGGTTTGCTCTTGCACAGCCTCCCTGCAGGCTGGTCTGCCAGCCTGCCCTAAAACACTGCAGGAGTTACACTGCTGCTTCCCGACCCCTTCCAGACACACCCAGCAGACTGGGTGCAGAGGGAAACTTCGGCTGTAGTCTCATACTGTTCTCGATCTAACAAGCCCCTCTGCCTCAGCAAGGTTTTCCAGATCATGTGCAGTGCTGGGTTAAATGCAGGTAGAAAACACGTTGTGCTTGGCCAGCCCGTATTTCTTGGCAACATGATCCATCATTTTGGTCCTGGCTCTCCAGGATGAAACCACAAACACCAACAACTGCTCATGCCACCCTGAGGTAGTCCAGCTCATCTCTAACTTCCCAAACTTCTGGTGTTATCTTTCTACAACAAAGTTTCCTCTCCTTTTGCATACTGGAAATGATGCTTTCTTTTAGTCTGGGCTGTAGTTATCAATAACATTGGGATTAAGTTCCTCTGAGTTCTTATCTTCAGTAATTTTGCCTAGAAAGTATAATGACTTGTCATGGCACTGTTAAGCAAATAAGATGTGTTATTGCCATGCTTATTTTGCACATCTTATGCTCAGGATTTGATCAGATTTGAAATCATTCAGATGTTCATGGCAGTGCACACTTCACACTGCAGGAGCCCAAAAGTCGTGAGAGTGGAAATCAGGCTGAGTCTGCTTTCTTAGTGGTGAAAATGCTCCCTTAATTTTTCTGCATCTGCAGAATTTTCAGGGATGGTGCACGTCAATACTGGATAAAGCAACCTAGAACCTTTTCAGAACTGTGCTACTCAAAAGCAGTGAATTTAAGGTCTTCCTCATGTGCAAAAAGCAGTGAAAGTATGGTTAGAATTCTAATCACCTGCAAAGCAGAAATGATCTACCTGTAACAGTGACAGCAGAACTATACATTTATGGAAAAATGAACAGAATTAGAATGTAAGAAAAAGATCTATCACTAATGGACTAGGTCTAATGGTTTAATGCTGAGATTATGGCATGAGAGCAGAAGAGTTAAAGCAGTTCAACTTTCAAACCTAACTACAGATACCACGTTAGGATCCTGTATCTCCAAGCTTCAAAGAGGGAAGCTCTACTAGTCTGCTTGGTTAGGTCCTCTTAACTTACTTCCTTTGATCTCAGCTGGCTGCTTTATATCAAGGCCAACAGATCTAAAGGTATCATGAAGCTAACAAAAACTATTACCCACTTTTAAATACACACAGTTAATTTTATAGAGAGCAATGCTGTCATTTACTGAATGAGATCTCCACATTCATTTTTGGCAGTTTATTGTACAATTGTACAATGTGTTGGTACAGATCTATACACTCGCTACTCAGGTTGAGCTCAGTCACCAACACACCTTGCTAGAAGTTCCTCTGGTGTTCACATCACCTGTCTGATCTACGTCACTTAAAAGAAACTGCGTTTTTACATCCTTTGGAACAAACACATGTCAACTCTCATAAAAACTCCTGAAAGAATGAGAAGAGAACGGGATTATAAAAAACTAAAGCAGTAAGGAGAAATTGAGGCTGCTCCTTTGCAGAGAGGCTATTATCACAGAAGAGGTAACTTCTTTTTCTCTCCTTACAGTGATGCCTTTTCAGGACTACCTGAAAACAGAGGGCTAAGGCATCAACAGCAGTTTGTACTCTCAGAGATGGAGCATAAGTGGAATATTACACACAGGTTAAAGTACTGGATAAAAAAAGCAGCAAAAATAAAATAAACTCTGTCACTCTGCTAACGAAAGCTGTAAATTACAGCCCAGCCTAGCTTAGTGACAACACAACGAGACGTTCTATGCTCTTAAAGTAAATGCATTAACTCCTTTGATGACTCCTAGATTTTACCAACCACAGCAAACTGCAAGCTAGCAGCATGAATCTAACTATCCTGGCACAAAACTCCAGAGCAGATGGCTATATGTACCACTTTGGCCATCTACTCTGCTTTATACAGGGCTCAAATTATGTATTTCCCAAAATCCTAAGAAATGACAAAAGTTATATATTTTTAGATTTGACATTCAAGAAATTACATCTCTTTAAAGCAACCTGTGAACTCAATAACTATATTGAATAGTTCTCAAATACTGTAAATTATTGTATTTCTTCCCTCAATTAACATTTATCATTGAAATCTGCACACAATTCCCAACTGATTTCTTAACAATCACTTTTCAAAATGAAAAATCTCATACTGAGATCCAGAATAACAGTCATTCAATGGCACTATTTCATTTTTAAACTATTAAATTCTCTTTTATAAAAAGCCTCTTCTTTTTTTTCCTGGAGTTAAGTAGTCTACCTCAATTCTTTTCTATACTAAAATCTTGGGTGTGTTTATGTTGGCTTTCAAGGACTCTCACTGAAGAAACTGTAGGAGTGAGATGAAAACATTATATGTAACATATAAAGAATATAAATATTCTTGCTTTAAAGAGTGTTTATTGCACTGTGCTTTGAAGAAAGCTCTGGAGATCCTGTGACACAGGAACGAACTAGGTACTAACTCACTGAAACTATTACTACTGAATATTTTTGATGTCTATGTAGCTTGCAGAGCACAGGAAAAATCCCTGTCTAGGTCTGTAGTAAATAACATGGACTTAATTTTCTCTAGCACTACAAGTAGTGGCTTTTTCCACAAAAATATTTGACTGAAAAAAGATGTCTGAAAGTTGTAGCTAATATTTTCAGGCTTGAATGCTGTACTTGATTACACATGGACTATAAATCCCTCCATTGCTGGCAGTGCACGCATTCTTTAAACACAGTGAAATTCCATGGAGATCAGCTACTCACCACATGAATACTTACAGAAAAAGGAGAATTCCTGTGTTGGCCAAGGCAAAAGCAAGACCCAAAATCCCACTGCCCATAATTGCATTGCTAAGGTTGAAGACGGACATTCCCAGTGAAGTAGTTCCTGGGATCTGGAGAAATAAAGACAGATATGTCAGCAACAGCTTGGAACAGAGCAAGGAAATACAACTCTACTTCAAACTCCGTGTTTTGTGATGTATCAGACATAAGTAACTACTGCTATGGAAACGACTTAATAAAAATTGTTTGAAAGAGGAGAAAGCGTCACTGAACTCTGTCACAGCTACGCTGCCTGACAGATTTTGTAAATTGACCTAAATGCTACAGGCATCACACAGCTCATATTGCACTTTCAGTTTTAAACCCCATCTGCCACTACACCTGAGAAACATCCTGGACATGTAATTTATATACGGTAAAGCCACAAGAAACCAACACAACTTCCTGCCCAACAGGGCAGATGGATTCCCTTGCCTCAACCCAACCAATATGCTTGGGGGTTTTGTTTTGGGGTTTCATTTAAGTGCTGATCCCAGGCAGTTCCTACTGGAAATTGGATTCAGTTATAGTTGTGTGTGCCCAGCACTTTTGAAGACAATGTCTAAAGACCTTTCACGCAGTTCTTGACAGGGAACAGAACAGTGAGAGAGACTTACATATTCATCGCATTTCTTCTTCTCAAGGTGGCTGTTTGTGAGACTTCTTCTGCTTTCTCGATCCGAAATAAACTTGCTGAAAGAAGTCAGAGGATTTATTTCTAGCAGGTGCTTAGAAAATATGAACACATTCATTCCATAAGCAGCATGTGATTACAAAATACACAATGTATAAAAACTGTATGTGAAAAGAGGTCAAACTCATAACTGTCATCTGGACATCAATAAAGGTAACATCAGCACAAGATCAGTATAAATGTGTATATATACAAAATATATGCATATACAAAATGGTCTTTTAGGCTATTTAGGAAAGAAGCAGAATCAGTTTTATGGATGGAAAAGTAATTTGTTTGCACAGAAGCTAAGAGGAGATACTTCTCCAGGGTGATGCAGAGGCACATGTGACCCCCCTGCTCCCAGCCCCTGCACGTAGGGTGAGCGTAACTAGCACCAGTCTACAAGGCAAGCAGCCATTCTCTGTAGCTGAGTGGGTTGTACTTATTCCTCTCCCTTGTTACCAGGCCCTGAAGGTCCTGTGAAGCAAGTACAACAAGAAACCAAACAGACTTCTTCTTCGCCTCCCTATCGACCTCAAGACTCCTGGGCACCAGCTCAATTACTTCCTGCCTTACCAGGCTGGAAAGTTCAAGCACATGGCCCACCAGGCAGTTGGCTTTCCACAGAAGAGGAAAGCATAACAGCATCCTGGGCACTAACTATAAAATCAAGCAGTTTCAAGTCCTAAGCGGGGAACTTGGGACTGCAGCTGCCACTGGCCAGAGACAACCCCCTGTCCTCTGCATCCTCCAAGGATTATGGGAGCGGCTGATGTTCTTTTACATGATTTTTTGAGTCAAGATTATGATTGTATACTGATAAAACAAACCATAGATTAAGATCTGACCCCATCTGTTGAGGATCCAGGTGACTAGAAATTGTAAGTCAAATTGTACTATAAATTCTGTATTACGCTACTTATAGATTACACTGCTTTGATTCTACTTGTTTAAATCCTGTGCCATTCTAATCATAACACCCTGCTAAAAAAAAAATCTTTAATTGTAACTATGAATTACTGCCATCATCATTCTGCCAAAGATCCCTAAAAGATTTTACCTGTTCCCTCACTGTCAGGTGGCACTGCAAAACCCTACATTGCCACTAAAATCTAAAGTTGCCACATAGGGTTGGTATGGCTGGAATTACGAGGAGGAAGATGTGACACATATGCCAGTGCTGGCTGGACAATCCTGAACCAGGCAATTTGCTCTGCTGGTACACTGTTCTGGACTACTGGATTTTCATATAAGTGTCTTTTAAAGCTCAATGCTGAATTCATCATACTGCAAAATTAAACACTTCTGTGCAGGGAAACAGAATAAACAGCTTTTCTTTCTCTTTACCCTTTACTTGTACTGTGTCCTTGATGTATCCACATTTAGGAACTTACCGTCCCCCCGTGGCAGTGTTGGCATCCTTGAGATTTACAACACTTCTGATCTGGATGAGCTGTTATTTTCTCACAGATCTTCTTTCCAACAAACATTTTAGTTTGTATAAAGCATTCTTTCAGCTTTTCATCTTTTGAAGGTTTATGCACAATTAAGTCCCTGGCATTTTTGCTAATCCACAGATGGTACTTAGTCTGCACTGGCTAATGCCTCAGCCATCGTACACATCACATACCTAACCAGGGGCTGTCACCAAGTGTCAGAGCCCATTTTAGCTGTAGCTACATTAAGCTAGGTCTTCTTAAATTGAAACAGACGAACAACACTGAGCACAAAGGGCAGCACTGCTGGTCGTTTCCCACGGTGGGAAATATCTATTGGGCAGGGATGTATAGCTCAAACTGTGACTCAAGACTTTGCATCATCTCAGTACATCCAGCAGTATTCAGGCTGGTAATAAATAATGAACTTGTAAAGACAGAGCTTGAACAAACCTCCTAACTGCCCTAGCTGTGGCCTAATTACTAGTGCTAGCACTGCTTCTAAGGCTATACCAAAATCATGCAGCTGTAATGCTCCTGACTTGGCTTCCACAGCTGATACAGTGGGCTTTGTGTCTTTAAGATTTTGTGTTTATGCCTTAAATCCGGGCATAAGTAGCAAAATGTAAGTAGTATTTTAGCTTTTTTTTTTTTTCAATTTTGACTCCTGCCTATTGGTCTGCTTTGATTTCCTGTATATCAATAAAAAAGAACTATAGGCTTTTCCTGTATTTTTAAATACTAACTTCAGCAACTACTAATTTGCTGGAAAATATAGACATGTTATCAGATTTACCAGCCCTAACACAGTTGGAATAGATGGCTGAACCTCCCCCACCGTTTGATGAAGTGAAAAGCAGCCACTTTTAAGATAGACTGATCCGGAATTAGCTTTCCAAAGCTCACCTTATAGGTATTTCATCCACATGGAATAAAATCTCAACTTGATTTAGAGTACGTGCTTTTTCTCTTTCATGTCTGTTTAAAGCCCATCTCTTGAACGCAGGCAGTAGAGTGTGAACGGTTTGAAAAAGACATTCCAGTTCTCTCCCGAAACACCCTGCAGGCAATTTGTACAGGCAGGAGCACAAAGAAAAGTTTTGTCTCTTTTGGATTTGTAACTGCTGCTGGGAACATCTGTGGACTTTGCCTTCTTCTGTCATTTATGGAGATCATGTGTCATTTTAGATTTTGTCAAGAGTTATGATAGAAGTCACTAGTCCGCTCCCCCCAGTTCTGCTCATCACCCTGCAGCCAGTTCCCTCTTAATAATTACAAAAACAACAAATTCGTAGATACTATTATTATTGCCTTCTGGTATTAAAGTTCCATGAAAATTATCGTTAAAAAGCTAATAGACGATAAAGAGAACACTTGGGTAACATTGCTTGAATATAAAAGTGGCCATGGGACTGACAGAATAAACAGCTTCAGCATAGCTGGTATCTTCCATGGCCAATAAATATGTTATTTGCTTTTGGATGGGACTGTGAGAGAACTAGTCTGATTTGATAAATTGATCCAAAGTACTTTCTTCTGAGTTAGTTCTAGAGTAAAAATGGAGTGGGCTTGTTGCCCAGCTGAGCTCTTCATCCACCCTGTGTTTCCTACGTCACACTTCACTTTTCTCCATTTATTCTGTGTGATGTGTACAGGAGGGCAAAGGCAGACATGGGAATGCTGGTATTGGGATCCCCAACCATCAGGTACATAGCACTGAGCCCAGCTTTCTTATGGGGGACTTCCCAGTCCCTGCATCCCAGCCCCAGGACAGCTTGTCCAGACAGCTCAGCAGCGATGCAGTACAGGGGGATGTGAGCTCTGCATTTGCTGTTGCAGGCAACTTAACCTGCAAATTCAGAGGAGAGGTCTGCCTTGGGACAATGCTTGGTAGAGCCATACCATACGACAAACAAGTTTTCCATGCATTAAAAATATTACTGATCTTAAATGAAATAAAATTTAAAAAAAGTAGGGTGAAAGGTAATCCAATGAATTCAACAAAATCAAATTATATCAAGGTATTGCTTTTTATAAGCATTTTATTTTTATTTCAGGGTGGTTTTCTTCCCCTAGAGCATATGAAAGGAAACATATGTTGAAATACTGGAATTTCTAGTTAAACTGTGCCATGCATCTGCTCTGCTTAATAGACGTGCTTAGAAAACAAGCCATTCATTGTCACAAGAATGTTGTATTTTTGACCTTTATGAATATGACACAAATTAAGTGAAACGCCTGTTTATGCCAGCCTCTCCCAGCCCTCCCAAGGATCAGATCACACAGCACTGTGAGAGGTGCTGTGGCAATGCACTGTAGGATTGTCTGTGCCATCAAAGCCTTGAGAGTCTCTGACAACCATGAAATTCATTTGCACTATTTGTTGTCTTCATTTCAAATGCTTTACCCTTCACTGAAAGACATAACCCGTTCTTATATATTTCTGCTTTCCTGTTTTGTTTCCTGTATCACAGCTGAGTATGAACAGATTATACAGAACTTTTCAGATATATTAATGAAATATCCTGGCGAAGATATAGTAAGCTCATCCTTATAATGCATGAAGCCTCACAGCTGGCCTGGAAAGAATATCTTCATCTAATTATTTTCCTGGTTTGATTTAGTGCAAAGTAGAAACTTAGCCTTATTGATAAAGTGGTTTAAAAGGATGATGTTTAACTATGGTTTCCAAATTTAATTTAAGGACTTCAATGAGAAACGTTTGCTTAAGGTGATATACCCCTAAGCTAACTACTTTGGCTAAGCAGTTAGCCAAAAACCATTTAGCCATCTCAGATACGTTTAAACATAATTAAATTAAAATGGTATTTTACAATGCCTTAAACATTTGTTAGGGAAAGTTAGTTTTGCCAAGATGGCAAAACTTTATCCTTAGGCAACTTCCTAAACTGCATGCTAACTTAAGAAGTGGCAAAGATTTCCAGGGCAGGCATGAACAAGAAATGCAGAGGAAAGCTTAATCTGACTTACACTATGAAACTTGCACCAGATCTTAGCATACCTACTAACAAGCTTGTTAACCGAACAAGGGGTGCTGATAACTTACCAGCAGCTATAAACTAAGACAGCCATTCAGACATCAACTTTCTGAGAGCATTGTCATAGTTATAGTTAAGGAGCAAGTTATCTAAATACTGATTTGCAATTATGTGCAGAGATGGCAAAGTTTTATAGCCAGGAGACATAGTTAAAAGTCACAAAATCCATGTCTGGGTTTCATGCAAATCTCTGAATTGACATTTTCAGAAGACATTCCCATTCAACATCTGCATACAAAGAAAACCCCCTCTTAGTACAGCCTCTTCAAATCAACATTCCCTCCCTACATACAAGTATATATTTAGGCCCAGAAAAGGCTGGAAAGCCAAAGAAACATACAGGATTCTTTCCCAAGATGAAGAAATATTTGGAGTTTACAGCCAGATTTGGAATCAGCTTGTGCCTGGTGTACCATCTACAATAGACCCTTAAAAAGTTGCTGTACATTTGAGCTTGAAAAACTATGCACTGAGAGAAAAAAATTTAAATACAGAGTGAAAAATCAAACAAGTTGAAACAAGAAAAAAGTAAGTTAGTTGAAAATTACAGATCTAATCTAAAGCTGAAGTGTAATCAACAGAAAAAGTTCCACTGATTTTGATGGACCTGGGCATTTTACATGGCCTCACATCACGCGCCAGGCAGCACAAAATGTGTTGTTCCCTATGCCTGTTAACCTCTTACTCCATGGAAAAAAGGTGTTCGCCGAAATAATTACAGAAAGGGACTAACCACATCCTTTCAGGATGTGTTCGGCACAGGGGCAGAGCAGGATATGCCCGCCTGCTCGTCACACCTGATGGCATGGAGGTGCTTGCACAGGGCAGCGGCTGTGGGTGGCTCAGTGACAGCTCAGCCCCAGGGCATGCGGGCAGGGCTGCACTGATGCTCACTGCAGCTGCACTGGGAGCTGTGGTCAGTGAGAGCTGCCTTGAAACTTTTGTTTTGGACATGAACAAACTGGGATATACAGGGCAAAATAGTCATGCAGGGGATGTAATAGCTGTCCCACGAGAGTGCCTGGGCAGAGGGCTAAGAGAACCACAGCAGGCTATATCCTATAGCCAAATGATAGCTCGTCCTTCTGCAGAGGAAGCAAGCTCTCCAGAAAGGAGAGCCCTGAGAGCCAGAACAGCAATCAGAAATTCTGCCTCTGAGTTTCTGACTCTCTTTCTTCACTCCATTTTTCTTCTTCCTTTCGCAGGCAGTCAGGATCCAACCCAGATCTTGCCATGCTTACTATGCCCTAACTCCATAAAGCACATTGTGACCACAGAGGACCAGGCACATACAGCAAGCTCCTTCCCCACCCTCCATAAAAATTCACCGACAATGAAGCACCACCAGGGTTTTTCCCCGTAACATTTACTGATGGCATCAGCCAAAGTGCTGGGGAGGCACAGCCAGCCCGGTATAGCCACTCCTTGTCTCAAGGATATAAATCCTCAACAGGCTTCAGGGAGTGAATTTACCGCTGTCAGCCCCTAAGCTCCTCTCCTTACAACATGAAGCAGCAGGAAAGCAAGCAGGTTCATACTGGAACTGTTTTGTTTTGGCAAAGTTGGAAGGGTTTTTGTCTGTCTCTTGCCTTTTTTTTTTTAACAGAAGTGGTTTGTGTTTCGTTTTGGCACTTTCCATCAAAGCAGTTGCATCAGAAAATTCCTGACCAGCTCTAATCTTCATCAGCACAGCTGCGTTGTGGTCACAGCACTACCCGCCCTGCTGGTGTCGGCCCCAGGACTTCCCTGGGGCTGGTGGCGGGGACAGGCTATCCTGCCACTCTCCTGCTCCCCTCTGCCACCAGCCTGGGTGTCCTGCTCTGTCCCCGGTATGGTTGGCTGGTTTTGGTGCCTGAATGGTGTGGGAAGTGCTGGGTGCTTACTCCCACAACTGTCACCAAGATCCTTGTCCACCCACACAGTTGCAAGTCCCAAAACTGACTCTCACCTCACCTGGGAAAAAACAGCTCTGAATTTTGTTTTAACACTAGAAAGTGAGATTCTCATGGAGCTGGAGAGGATGCTGCCAATAGGAAGAAAAGGCAAGAGAAGAAGATTTTAAAGATCATAAAATGAGTGGAGACAGCCCCGCAGAAGGGAGCAGAAGGATGTGCTGCCACAGGCTTCCCGGCAGGGCTGGATCCCTATGCAGGCACTGACTGGCCCTGTGCTCCACCTTGGTTTGCAATATTTGAACAGGAAGTTTGATCAAAACAGCTCACAAAATACAAACACGGTTTGTCAGCAGGTCCTTGCTGTAAACTGGATGGCTCAGCACCTGCTGGAGGCTGGCAGGAAGGGCTGGAGAAGTGCTCTCTGGTGGAAAAGGCAGCTCTTCAGAAATGACTGTAAGCTTATAGAAAAAGCCAACAGCTTTTAACAGCTAATAATTGTATCGATAATAATTGTAACTAATAATTTTCACTAATACTGATGCATTTTTTAAACTTTATCTGAGTTAAGAGTAAGACTCTTTTACCATCTTCTTGCCACGTCTGCCTCACGAGAGCAAACCACTGCCCAGTTTATCTTGCCAAATTGCAAATACAGACTGGAACTACATTTGCTACCAACCACACCAGCTGTAACTTCCCAGAAGCTTGGATACATGGAGGTGGTCAGACAAGTTAGAATTGTCATATCAGAGATCAAAGATCTCCCCAAAATTATGCCATCATATTGTTATTACTTCTTTGCTGTATGCAAGCAGATATCTAAAAATTTTGGCTTTTTGCTGAAATATATGTTTGTGAATTTTATTAGACTAATTTGAAATATTCAAAATTATGAATAAATTGCTACTCTGTTTGCTTTATCTGCTATTGCAGCCTATGCCCAACAGATGTTACGTATGAAATTCAAATTACATCTTCAAATGGAGCATGACTTGGTAATGAATAATTCAAGACATATACTGAAAATTAGAATGCTGTTTTTAAACAGTGTGTTTCTTAGCAGAGGCAACGTCAGTGGAAAAATACTCACCTATTTATCTGTCCATTTTCCACCTCTGTGAAATCATTTGAATCATTGCTGATGTTATCATCTTCAGGGACAGTCATATTCTGCAATTCAGTCAGTTCTAATCCAGCTTTGAAATGCATGCTTGGTGAGGAACTGTGCCTATCCAAGTCGTTCTTCAAATACTAGTGTTTGGTTGGTATCTCGTGGGTAAACTGCAGCCACAGTGTCAGCAACCTAAATAAAACAAAAAAATCCAAGATGTATACCACCAACAGCAGGCAATATCACCAGAAGAAAGCAGTGAAACCTGCACAGGAAGGACATCCATACCAATCAATTTTGTATTGTTAGATGGATCTCAGGTTATGACCTAAATACATTGCAGAACAGTAGTAACCTTGCATGTCTTAACGAGATCAACCTCACTAACCTTATAAATTTACCCTCTCCTGCAATAAATTGCTGAAGACAGTATTTGTTTTTTTAACTTGTGAGCAAACCAAGCCTGTTTGTTTCAGGAAAAAGATTAACCTCCTACAAATTAAGGAATAAAAATTATTTGCTTGTCCAAGTCCTAATTCAATATCTGGTGTTTGTCTTCTGTGTGATCTCCATTGTTGCTTAAAAATAAAAAATACATGTCCACGCTGATACTAAGTGGGATAGAAAGAGGGAAAGGGTTATCCCAGTACTGTGTTCTACTAATACATATATTCCAACCTGTTAAGGATTTTTGCACAGAGGTGCAGTGGATGCTTTGTTTAAGTTTTTGGATGGTCAAACTTGTTACGAACAAGGAGAGAAACAGAAAAAACCCAAATCCCTAAGCCCAGGTATCACAGAAGAAAGAGCAATGTGTACCTTTTGTGAAGCAGTTATTATTTAGAGATCAGGTGATCGCTCCTCTGATAGATGTGTTCCATAAAAGCACAGAGAATAACACCGAAGGCAGATCAGAGAAGTCTGCTACAGACATACTTTCTCATCAGCAATGCAAATCAACTGATAAGTCAGTTTTTTCTGGAGTCCAACCACTCTCGGCTGAGCTACAACTCCAGCGTGGTAGTGAGGCAACAGTGTTACTCACAAACAAGTTCCTGCACCACAACTCTCTCCATTTCCATTTTGTGAATGAATTTCCTGCAGTACTGCCAAACAACAATTCAGCCTGGGGTACGTGGTGAACCCTCAGATACCACATTAATTTGGGAATATTTTTAAATTCTCAGGGCTACCTCAAAGCCATCAAACTGCTTGCATGCAACCAAAGAGGCATGAGCATTCCCAGGCTCTTTCAGGGTTAGACAGGAAGACGTAGTTCACTTGTTCAGTTATGACATCTGCCTGTTTCAAATTAAGTTTACAGAAGCCAGTACTTCTGTTTTATACCACATCCCCACCGTGCATTAGACAGCTTTGCAAACAAGCAGTTTTTTCCCTGTAAATACTTTCTCAGAAATGCCATATTAAAGTTTACACGTGCTCTTAACAATCGCTCAAAAGTCCACCCTGTCCAACCTTCAGGTGCCAAGTTTAAAGGCTAGCCTCGAGGCTAACAGCAGAGCAGGGCAGGATCCCTTCTGTCCAACTGGAGGAGCAGCTAGGCATGTGAAGGCAAACACTGCCTGGTGCAAGGGTAGAGTCTGGGGTATGCGAGCTGGGTACTTTTCAACTCCTCTGCAAAGGAGATTTCCACTGCAGATACCAGGAGAAAACTGCTCGGGTATTAAAATGTTGGCACAATAAAATACATAAAAAAAAAATAATAATTATTTAGGTTGCTGATAAATAAAAGCAGACTGGCAAGCAGAGGGTGGTTTTAGCATTCTGGAACAGTCTTCCCGGAGGCTGCAGGGATAAAATAGTCTACCTATTTTGGAAGAGAAGCACAATCTTTTTATAAAAGGATAAAGCCACAGGAGATGGCAACTGCTGAGGTGGCAAGGACCAAGCCCACTGAATTCTGATGTTTCTTGTGACCATGAGTTCCTAAAATAAACAATTTCTTAAGAGACCTGGCAACCTCTGTACCAGGATCTGTGTCTCCTGGCATTTTAAAGCCTCTGTAAAGGTTCATCTGAGATTCAAGCAGAGAAGCTTTTCCTTTGGGCACTGTTTTGCATCACGATGCCAAGGAGGATTTTCAGAACTGCCTTGACATTGCCTGTGCTAAATAAATTCCCCCTTAAGTGTTTCAAAAGCAGGTGCTGAAATTAGCAGTGGTGTGAGGTAAGCAGTGCACAGGAGAACTGGCTGCACAGCTCACTCATGTGTGGCTCCAGCTTCGTCCTCTGTCCCTGAAACACTACAGGACCAGACTGCCAGGAACACAGCTCTCTGCTTCGCTCCCAAGGAATCTTTTCAGCACATAAGTGACAAGCTTTTTCTGTTTCAACCAAAACCCTGCTTCTACAGAAAAATAATTGAATGAGGCCGTTTCACAAGAGCATGTAGTGATAGGACAAGAGAGAATGGCTTTAAACTGAAAGAAGACAGGTTTAAGTTAGATATTAGGGAGAAATTCTTTACTGTGAGGGTGGTGAGGCACTGGAACAGGTTGCCCAGAGAAGTTGTGGATGCCCCATCCCTGGAACTGTTCAAGATCATGTTGGATAGGGCTTTGTACAACCTGGTGTAGTGGAAGGTGTCCTTGCCCATGGCAGAGGGGTTAGAATGAGATGATCTTGAAGGTCTTTTCCAACCCAAACCCTCTAGAGCAAAATCTTAGAGCAAGCTGAAGCACCAGCAATCATTTCAGTAGATTCCATGTTTCAGTCAGACCAGTTGCTCCTGAAGCATCATGACAGTGGACACATCTCTGAATATGCATCAGGTCTTGCTAGGGTAAGTAATTTACTAAAAAAACACCAAAACAAAACCCTGAAACAAACAAAAAATATTGAATGAAATAATGCACAGCACTTCCAAGTATGAGAAAACCTGATCTCAGTGTCAAAACATGAGGTGGGTGAGGAGAGAGTGGTGGGGCTGGGAACTGAAGTTTTCATCGTCATGGCATGAACTCATCATAGATCTTTGGCAAAGTAAAAAAACATGTCCTCTGCATCTCCACCTATAAAATTAAGATGATAATAGCAACACTAACACTCAGTTTGTGAAGTGCTTGAAGATTCAGAGACAAAGGGTGATACAAGCGTGATACCTGGAATAAAGCACTATGCAAATCATGAAGTTTTTTCAATAATAACTTTATCTTAGAGATTAACAGAGAAAAACCTCAAGGCTTTTTTTCTTTTACTCTGGGCACTCCCCACAGTCAATGGAGTATAGGTGGTCACTTGAATTTCATCCCCAAATCACATACTCTAAACTTCAAGTTCACCCACGTGATAAATCACAGTTTAAATGAAATCTAAAATCCCAAAGGTTAGGGTTCATGTAAACAAGTTAATTCCCTACAAGTCAATTGTCCACTGCAGGCCTGTCACTTGGCCTCTTGGTGCTGCTGGAGGACAACTCCCCTTACCAATGGGAAGGGTCTGCAGTCACACTGAGTCGTTCCCTGCAACTGCAAAAGCTTTGCTCCCAAAAGGAGATTCAATGCTGGGATAGCTAAGCTAAGCAAGTTGCCACCTCAGGTGCCACTAGCGCTGTGAGAAAAAAAACCCCAAAACTGCTTCAACTAATAAAAATTCATCATATGTTGATACTGAGCTATATTGGAAGCAGCAGGGTAATATGTGCTTTTACAGCCTTTTCATTCAAGAAATGTCTTAAAAGAAATGCAAATAAAAATGTTATGTTGGCAAGAGTTCTTAGGCTGAGCTTTATTCCTAATTCACATTGAAAGACAGTAAATAATCACTTGAATAGTGACTGTAGAAATCCCAATCACCTCAGTCACTGTGTCTACTACTCTATCCACCCTTAACCTCTCAAAAGGAAAACTTCCAGAAACCTGCCATCAAACCTCTCTTTTCAGACACCTAGTCAATCACAAAGGACAAATCAGAATTTTGCTCTTACTTGCTCCACTCAGATGGGCAAGCACTCCGTCTTGAAGAAGGCAGCACCCCAAGAGAAAACCAGCAAAGAGCTAATGACTCTTCAAAATGAACCTCAAGGATCTGTGTTTGCTACCTGATCCAGCTCCTCTGTTTAGTGGAAAAAGCACTGCTGTGGCCTAGCAGCTTATCTTTCTCTTTAAACATCCCATGATATGTCTTGTAAAAGCCATTACAGATAATTTATTTGTGCTCCTTGAAAAATATGGGAAAGATTACAACTGATCACAGCTTCAGGAGGACTATGAGATGACACAAGAAGATAAAATTAATTTATTATTTTCAAGGACACCAAGACCTTCACAAGCCATTAAAACACATTCTAAGAACTGTGGTCATTTTCTCTGTTGACTTGTGAAACAAAAAAAACCCAAAACCCTACAACTCCAGTTTCCAGGAGCTTCCTGTTAAAATTCCACAAGAGCAGTAATGAGATCAAGAACTTTATGTTTGAAAAAAAAAAATTATAATACAGACAATCTGTTTCTTCTGGTTCATGCACGAATCCTTTCTAGACCACACATGGAAGAGGTATAATCTCAGAAAACACTTCACTGGAAGCTGTGTTTCTAGAAAGAACATCATCACTCTTGGTAGTAATCACGATGCCTTAATTCACCTGCCATTGTTTTGTCCTATCCTGTAAATGACACAGTTCCAAAAATGTCATCTTAAGGCAAAGGGCTTCTCAAAATCTGACCCAGTATGTGAGAGGCGTTTGGGTAAGTGGTCAAGCTGGACAACATCTAGTCCATCTCTGGGTACGGTTTTTGCAATGTGTCCTTTCACTTCATTGCACTTCATTCACTGTGTGCTTCCCGCGGTCAAATGGTGTTGGGGTCGGTAAATACCCAAGACATATTAAGGACTTTGAACTATGGAATTGGAGGTAATTTTCTCAAAAGACAAAAGACAAAATGTGACTCAACTTTCTTCTCAAAGGGGGTTTTGCCAAGAATTCCTCTTGGCTGGTTACAAGTCATCATTTCACACAAGCTGTGTTTATTCCTGCAAAACCTGAGATGTGCTATGTCTTTCTCTGCTCATACTTTTGAAAGTTCTTTCAAAGAACAGCAATATGACCAGTAAGACACCATGGATTATAAATAATGAAACATAGAGACTGAAACTCTGCATATGGACTATTCACTTGAATGACAAAAAGCAAGAATAGGCTTTATACGTAACAGTATCACACTGGGAGGCAGGGAAGCAACTATCTCCTTTTCATTCTGCATTGGTAACACCTGACATGAGGGACACAAAGCTCCAGACTTACTCCTCATCCACAGAAAGGACAAAACGGAGAGATTAGAGAAGAGCCACTGAGATAACAAAGAGCTTGGAAATTAGACTGACTCACATTCACTGAGCAAACATCTGCAGTGCTTGAAATGTCATTGCCTCCAACTCCTGAGCTCTGCCCCTCTGCAGCAGGCTGCAGCCACAGGAGCAGTGGAAGGAAGTGGGTTCACCCCCGGCCCCAGTGGTGTCCCAGCCGACCCTCGGCACCACAGAGAACCAACAAGGTGCTGGCACATGCCTGTCCTGCCATCAGCAAGGGCGCCAGGATGGGGCAGTGTGGTGGCCGGAAGGCCTTCAAGCTGCTGCAGCCATTTGCTTGGTGTCTGCAAGCCACCACCTCTCATCCGCAGGCTCCTCTCCCTCACAGCCCCCACAGCATGCAGGATGAAACAGCTAAAAGATAAAATAGGGGGTGGGAAAACAAGTGACAGAAGTCTTGGGAAGGAAGCTCAGAAAAGGGTATTGTAAAACACAAGTGATGAGAACAAATGTGGATTGTCAACATTTCTCTTGGTAGTGCATGACCTTGTGCTGCAACAGGGAAGTGTTCCTGCTCTGCCTCATCACTCTCCACACTGCCATTCCATGCTGCCATGAAGAAAGGGAAGACAGTCCCAAATTAAGTCTCGACAGGCTACTCAGCTGATCAAAGGCAGGCAAATAAGAAACCATAAAATCCCAGTCTGATTCACCAAGTGATTCGTTACTTTAGGCAAAACCACTTAAGGATGAGCCATAAAGGAGAATGGTTTTAAGTACATTTTTGTTTTGAGCCCTTCCCAGTCAATTTAGGAAAGGCATTTGGCAGAGGAATATAGTCACATTTTTTCCTAATTATATTTCTTTGTGAAATCCTCTCAACAGTCTTGATTTTCAGAAGAGACCTCACAACACACCACCACAAATAAATGCACTCTTGTCTTCCAAAGAAAGTGGAAATGCTGTATGAGTGGGGCTTTATGGGTCACTGGAACAAAATACACTATCCAGATGTATTTCTAAGGGTTAAACAGCAGCTCTGAAATTCCCATTTAAATAAACTTTTGTACTACAGAAGGAAGAATCCTTTGTATAAGTTCATGAGTCACTCACTTTTCCTCTGCCCTAGTTTACAAGTAATTTCTCTGCCTCAGTTTTCTTGACTGTGAGACTCAAAGCAGTATTTACCTGATAAGCTTGGGCAAATATTGTAAAAGTTATCTGCAAAACATGAAAAAGCTGCCATTTTTCCCAGGAGCAGCTGCTCAAACTTCTTGGATTGGATTAAGGTCACAGCAGTATGTATCCATCAGAAAGAAAACTGAATTCAGGCTTAAAATATTTAAATATTTCCACAACATCCGCTTGCCTTCACAATACAAACTTTCAAGTGATGGTTATTACCATGTTACTTGCTAGGCAGATTCCAACAGAAATGAGCAAGATGCTAAAAAGAGAGAGAAGAGCACAGGAGAGAGTCCCATTTCTGCTCGGTCACTGCTCTTACACTGCTAAGAACAAGCTCCCAAAACAGCAAACACAGACAAAATGTAGGACGGAGACACAGGATGAGCAGTCTGCAAGCAGGAAGGCTGAGAGAGCACTGCCTCCCCTTCCATCCTTTAAAACTCTTGTAAAAAGCAGGATTTGGGCACGAAGGACAATTGTTCCTCCACGTTTTACAGCAGTCTGCAGAAAGCCTCAAACTCAGGGGATAATCCTCTTCACACGGGTATGTGCAGCTTGGTGCTCACTGCCAACAACTGTCTCCCATCCTCACCCAGCCTGGAGAGCCCAGTTGGTCCAACTACAGCATAAATAGTCTCGACTGACAAGACAGAGGATGCTGCAGTGTGCTTCAGTGAAGTGCTCTCTCTATGGTGCCTCTTAAAAAGAAAAAAAACTCGACCTTCTGAAAAGGCAAAGTCAAATAGGAGTCATTCGGTATGACAGTGAAGCAGATCCCATTTTAGTCAGTGAATTTCCACCGAGCCTCAGCAGAAGGCCTCTGCTTACCAGCAATATGGCAGTTCGGAGGTTTCACGCAGGGTTTGCAAAGCGGATTTCAGCGCCATTTCGGCAGGGGCTCCTAGCCTGGAAAGGGCAGTTATTGATACCTATATCGTTCAGCAACAGATGGAATTTCCTTTTAGAGGCTTTTTAAACAAAGTTGGTGTTTTGGTAGCAAATGAAGTAAAATTTAGACGGAGGATGCTGTTTCTTTCTCCCTCTGTAGCTGTTTTTACTTCTCATCTATGAAGGTTAGACTCAGAATGCAGGGAATTTTTGTTTTGTTTTTTATTCCTTCAATATATTTTATCAACTAAGACACATCTTTTTCTTACACTTTACTTTTAGAATAATGCCTGTTCTACGTTATTTTGCCTTTCAAGCACAAGTAAAACCCAAACAAACATGAACGTAATACAGCACAGTTCCTATTTACAATTTGGACAGGAGATTGGTAGAAATGCCCCACATCAGTCTGGCACTCTGAACAGCCTACAGACATGAAGTGAGTTCAGCTGGTGGCACAAGGAAACTATAGCTTCTCCTTTCATAAAACCAGCTGAGAGATCCAGGGTTTATTTCAGTCCTTCCAATGTCACATAAACAAAGAACGTTTTACACACCTCATCTTCTCTCTCACAAGGAAAGAGACACATCCTAGCTACAGGTTGCATTACGAACTCTGCAAAACAATGGAACAAGCCCCCTGCCACAAAACCTACAGACACGTGAGCCAATGCACCCCCGGCCATTCACTCGGGCCTCTTCTCGCCTTTGCTCACCAAAAGCGACCACCCTAGCTGTTACTATGAATTTTACGGGCACCACGCACAAGCGTGAGCGCCGTGGGCCCAGCCTACATTTTCCGAATACCGTAAAACTTGCACTGACCCCGTGGCAGTGCTGGGTTTAAGGGAAAGGCAGGAATGTTCCCCGGGCACGGCTACACGGCGGCCGCGCACTCCGCGGGGGCTGCGGCACCCTCGACCCGGCCGTCATAAGGGGCAAACTCATTTATTATTACTATTTATTTTTTCGTTGCCAGTGAAAGCCCGTAGCCACAGGCTGCCAGGTTTTTATTTCTGCGGGTTTTGTTGTTTGTGGTTTTTTTCCGTGCCTGCCTCAGCAGTCGGCGAGGACAGCATCGCCCCCCGCCTCCGGCGCGGCAGATGCCGCATGGCAGCCCCGTCCGTCCCCACGTCCCCTCCGCCCCGCCGGGCTCCCCCAGCCCCGCCCGGCTCGCTGCCTGCATTTTTAGGGTTTGCACTGGGCAGCACCGGGGCCGAGCAGACACGTTGTGCGGGGGATGGGGGAGGGTTGCGGAGACGGCGGGGACAAAGCGCGGGCGGGCTCGGGGCTCCGGCCCGCGCTGCGCGGCCGCGGCGCAGAGACAAAGGGGGCGCGGGGAGCCTCCGACTGCATTAGCTGCTGCTGCCTACCTTCCCCAGGAGCCGCGGGGACCCTCTGAGAAGCGATCCACCTTTTCCGCCAGGATCCGGCTGGAGAACCCCGACAAATAATTATAGGGATAAAAATAAAATAAAACGTAATATTAAAAAAAAAAAAAAAAAGAAAGAAAGAAGAAGAAGAAGAAGAAGAAAAAGGGGTGAGGAGGGGGGGAAATTAAACTGGCGAGAAAGATGCCCTTCCTCCCTTCCTCCTCCCACCGCGCGTGTGCGCATATGGTGGTGGGCGGGCTGGCGGGAGCGCGCCGGGCGCGCCACGCGGGGCCGCGCCGCGCCGCCAGGTGCTGCGGGACCGGCCGCTCACACGTGTCCGGGCAGGGGAGCCGCGGGCCCTGCCACACGCCCAGCTCCCCGGCCGCATGGACGTTCAGCACCTTTCTTTTTTAAAAAATACATTTAAAAAAACACCCAGCAACTAATTTTTTACTCTTTTTACAACAGACAGTCATTTTTCTCTTTCCACGCCACGGTTGGCCACAGGAGAACCCCTCCTGGCAGGCTGGATGTTTGTGACTTGAAATGCCTACGGAAGATCTGGCATTATTGTCTTGACATTACTATTTCCTGCTCTGTCGTGCAAAATGTATTATGTTGAAAATGCTGCCACCTGTGGCATTTCCCATTTCCTGCTGGGGCAAGACACCTTCCTCAAAATGAATGGGGAATTCCGTCCACAGATGATTTGCTGTAGCTTGTTATTTCCGTACTAGTATCTAGAAAGAATTGTATGAGCTTTTTGGCTTGGAAAAAAATTTTCAAGAACTAACCTGAAGCAAGATGGTATTGCCTCTGTCCCCGGCTCCCCCCCCCACCCCCTGCCCGCAGAACACATGACTTGCATGGGATATCACAAGGCAAAGAATGAAAGGGTGATGGAGCCTGTGGGTTTGTGTGCAGTTTGCCTGGCCACCCATGGAGGGTAATGGCTTCTGGGAAGCTTTCACGGCAGCTCTTTCAAAAGCTTCTTGAGGTGCTTGCACTGGAATTTCCACTGCTGGGTCTCCTAAATGTCAAGCCAGAAAGGCAGATGACACACATGAAGAGATGTGGTTTTCAAATTACTGACTTTGCATATACAAATTGGATTCCTGTTTTAGTGCTTACACCACACTTTCTTTTTTTTTTTTTTTTTTTCGGTAGGGTAGTTCACAGAATCATAGAACCGTTTGGGTTGGAAGGACCTTTAAAGTCATCTAGTCCAACCCCCAGCAATGAACAGGGACCTTCTCAACTACATCAAATTGCTCAGAGCCCCATCCATTTGAATGTTTTCAGGGATAGAGCATCCACCACCCCTCTGGGCAACCTTTTCCAGTGTTTCACCACCCTTGTTTTCCCTACATCTCATCTAAATTGTCCCTCCTTCAGCTTAGAACCACCACCCCTTGTCCTATTGCAACAGGCCCTGCTAAAAAGTTTGGTTTTTTCTTACTTATAGGCCCCCTTTAGGTACTGCAAGGCCACAACACCAACTCTTTCAGCCTTTTCTCATAGGAGAGGTGCTCCATATCTATGATCATGATCAACGCCCTACTGCTCTAACAGCCCCATGTGTCTCCTGTGCTGGGGACCCCAGAGTTCTCTGAAGGTGAAGCGCTGTGCAAACAGTAATTTAATTAACACCTATTGTACCCTGCTAGGACAAGAGCCTATCATCCTAGTATTGAGAGTGAAGCCTGAGGAAAAGCTAGCTGAACAAGGGCATTAAGGCAAGGGCAGATCTTTCAACTTTACTCACATGATTAAACCACTCACATCAGAATCATATGCAGTTCCAGAGAAATTTAAATTTGACAAAAGATACGGGACTGGATTCCAAGTCAGAGGCTTCGCTCCCCACTCAGCTCTCTGTGCAAGGTACCATGCCTGAAAGCGAAGAAGCAGATATTTGCAATTCACTCTGACCCAATTAGACTTACATATTGTAAACTGAAAAATCAATCTCTCCACAGATTATTGAATTAAAATGTGTATTATATAGAGTATGAGGTCAGGTGGTGTTGCTGTAGGGAATAAGAGGAAACTCTTTCTTTAAAACAAAACATGTATCAGGCTATCAGGTGAATGATCATTGATTTATATGTTCTGTTACCTCCTTTCCTTTTATAGTTGTAAAGGCAAGCTATTTGAATCTTACCTTGTCATGTGCATTCTTAGAATGGAGGTAATTATTTTTCATAGAATTTTGAAAAAAATATTTTTAATATATCTTAACACAGCTCCACAAAAATGATGGCACTTCTCAAGGATGGAAACTAATTTTTTTTTGCATCTTTAGCATTTCAAATCTCTCCACTCTCCCTCCCTCTCAATCTCTCTCTGATTTTTTTATCACTCTTGGTTCTGTTTGACTTGATATGCTGTGAAACTTTAATGCTTGTGTCAAGCATCTTCTAGTTCTAATTTTATGGTTTCTCGTAAGCTTTTTTTCAACAGGTTTTCATGACAGTCACTCCTTATTGAACCGATTCCCTCCTCCTGTGTCTTTTTATTTATTCTTTTCACTCATTATCTCATTCCTATTTCTGGTTTAGATATATACCACAAGGATTCAGGAATTTACCATAGTATTTTTCTTTCTGTTGCCCATCTTAAACTGGCATGAGATGGGCATCCATCTCAAATCTCTTCTTGGATGCCTTTCAATGTGCTTTTATCTAGTCAAAATGGATCCTCTTTGTTTTTCCACTGAAATAACCCTGAGCCTTTCTCTGTTTGTGGTATCACCATTCTCATCCTGCTTTTGTTCAGACTTGCAAACTTCCAAATATCCTTTAGATTATATTTTGCCTGCCTAATATGAATCAACAGCCATGTTCACTTTCAGAACTACCCTCTGAAGTGCAATGTTCTTCCAGAGTCTGGAAAATTCCCTTCTACACTGTCCTTCAAAAATTTATTCTTATTGACTAACTTATACTTAATAGTGGAAACTGCTGGTATTCAACAAAAAAATGTATCTACATAATAAAAGTGAACTTAAATCAAAAGACACCAAGTATTTCTTTGGTTGACTAAATTATTGCACGTGTGAACATTTAAAAAATTTCTTCATGCAGTTTCAGAATGCTGTTTGATTTGGCATACGTTTTGTACAAAGTGGGGCTTGTTTGGCTTCTTTGTTGTCTTTTACTTCCAAATTGTAGCAAAGCCTACCAGACATTCCAGATACAATTTTTGCACCTGAAACAAAGCTGATGACAGAGCGTCCTTAATTTTGTATGATTATCCGCTCAATTATTTTACTCTATGGGAAATATATGGCTACAGCCCAGGGGAATGGAGTTGCTGGAGTTGGAGGTGGCTGTGCCTGGGGCAGAGGAATTCACGGCTGATGTGATGAGCCTGACAAGTGGAGCTGGAGGTGCTTATAGAGTTCTCTTCACCTCTATTTTAGTACATCCGTCATTGGCATGCTTGAACTTATGTGTTAGTGCTTGTGTGAAAGAGAGTAGAATAAAAGAGAACAGATCAGAAGTGTAAAGCCAGCTGAAGGAGAAAATCCAGTGTTTTTCAGAGAAGGTGCTTGCTGCCAGAGAGTGACCTTTAACATCTTTCAAGTCTCCGACTGCTGTTCAAGAATAGTGATGAAGCAAATGGTGTAAGCAATGACTGTTTTTGCATGAGTATTACATCTAATTCAAGCTGAACTAAAATGCACATAGAATTTTGTGACTTTTTTTTAAATTTTTAAATGTATTTATTTATTTATTTATTTATTTTTCACTGGTTTTGTTTTATGGAAAGAGAAATTTGTGTCCATTTGCTGCAGAGAGCCAACAAGCTTAGGTTTGATAACACAGTGTCTTAGCCATGAGGCTGCTCACAGGAGGGGGCAGTACTGGTCCTCCTTAAGGAAGTAATTAGACAGGGAGATCCCTTTCCCACCAAGGCTTCACAGAGACTGTGGGCTCAAAAAGTCTTGGAGATGTGCTGCAAGGACAAACAAAATACTGGTACTTGGGCGGGGTGTAGTTCAAGCCCAAACACATCATGGCTTGCTGAGGTGGGTGAACTCTTTCAGGGTAAAACAGCAACCTATTGACTGCACAGTACAAATTTATTCTTGGAAATAAAGTAAATGTTTCAGCAAATATCTATGGATTCTCTAGTCTGCCATGCCAGGATTTGCTAGCAAACAAAAGTAAAGGTTTCTGGGATATCTATCACCATGTTAAAAACTTCTGGTGCTAGCAGGGTCCTGGCACTGAGTCTGTGACATAAGCAGAGGAGGATATTTT